TGGAGGAGAGTTCTCCCGAGTCTTCAGACTCTGCTCCTTCATGGAGGACGTGATGGTCGGGTTCATACGTTCTTCAAAGTGTTCTTTCAGCAGCAGTTCTCCTCAAATGTTGTTTTGCTCTATGTTATTAATGAGGCACTGTTTGATTCAAAAGGACATCCTTGTGTTTTTATCCCATTTATGTGTATTATTCATTTCATGTTATTGTTTTCTTTCTTTTGTCATATCTTTGATCGTTGTTCCTCTGTGTCACTAGAAAAACAAGTGAGAAAACTGTCCTCAGCTCATTTTCTTCTATTTGTAAATTAGATTGAAGTCTTACTTTTAAAAAATATCTGTCATTTTATCCTTTGATCTGAATTATTATTTTATTTACTTTGATCTTTTCTTTTCTCTTTATTTTCCTTCATTGTTGTTCCTCTGTGTTTCTAGTTTGTCCTCACTGTGTGGAACAACAATAAAGCTGCTGGAATATCTGATAAAAATATGAATCAATATAATATTGAATAAATCCTGACAGCAGTAAAGAAAATAAATCCCTCAGTTCAGTGTGTTTGTGACTCTGGCTGAGATGGAGGTGAAATATGTGAACCTGGGCTGTGCTTTACTGCTCTCTTCCTGTCACAAACACTGTTTGACATCTGTTCATCTGGAGGTTTTTGTTCAGGCTGCAGGGATCTTTTCTCACTGTGGGGAGCTCTCTTTCCACAGGAGCAGTAGTAGGTGGCTGAATGATTGAGTTTAACTGTCTGGATCTGCAACTCACAGACGTTCTGTTCATACACAGCTGAGAAATCATCTTTCTGAGGATGATTGTACCTGTCCTTCTCTATGTCACCACTATTCCTAATAATATCAAGAATCAGTGTGAATGTTTCTGTGTCTCTCTTCTGGAACCAGTATACATAATCATAGTCACACTGGTCAGTGTTTCGACAGGTGAAGGAGACGTTTTCACCAACTCTCCTGGTCAATGTTAAATCATCCTGAATCAGCTGCTCTGCTGCCATGGCAACCAGCGCTGTAGAGAAACAGACAGGTAGATGAAGGTGAGTGTGACAGTGTTTGTTAAAGGTTGAGTTTGTGGGCTCCTGATTGGCTGGAAACACTCACCTGAACACAGACAGCACAGAGCAGCAGCTGGGAGGAAAAGCATTTTGTGCAGTGGTGTTTCCTCTGGTGAACCTGGGGAGAAGTGGCGCTCTGATGCAGCTGAGGCCAAACAAGGACGAGCTGTGAGATCAGACGAGGGCCACGTGGTTTCTAACAGCTCCTCAGACCTCCCATCAGCCCCTGCGGCCGACAGATGAGGCTGCTGCTGTGTGACAACAGGCCTTTTTCACAGCAGACATTTTGACTTGTCACAGAAGGAAAAGCACAAGTGTTACTAATAACATGAAGCATGGCTCTGTTCTATGACATCACATGTCTCTTTACGCTCTTAGATAGGTGTCACACCAATAAATCAGCTCTTCCAACATGGCTGTGTGACAGATTTCAAACCAAACTTTATCACATGCTGGATTTCTGTGTTTGCTGCTGGTGCTGACATTAAACATCACAGAGAAAGAGCACCACCCTGTGGTCAGTCACAGGAAGTGCAAGAGGATCCACATGATGCTGATGATGGTCGCCATGACGACAGGATGATGCTGACCACAAATCCCCACAGTGCCATCTAGTGGACAAAAACCAGTAAAGGACAAGTATCACTGGTATTATTGTTGTTCCTACTTGTAAAAAGAATTCAGATCCTTTTCCTCCTGCGACTAATACAACACAGTAAATTCTACTATTACAAATATTAGCACTACTTCTACTAGCTCTGATAGAAAGCTGAGGTTCTCACAGACTGAACCTTTTGTCTGTTCCTCAATCTGGTGGAAAAACACAGTCTTTTCTTCATCTTGTGTTTTGTGCTTCATGTAAACGTTTCTGTGTGGATGGATAGCGGACTCTGCGCTGCAGCTGGCAGACTTCCAGCTGTTCAGAGCCGATCACCACACACAACTGTCAGGTAAAAGGAAAGCTGGAGGAATCTGTTGTTACACTAACAGTGGCTGGTGTCATGATGTGACAGTGACTCTGCAGCACTGTTCTCCTGATCTGGAATCTGTTTTTCATCAGCTGTAAACCTTTCTACTCCCCCATGTGTGTGTTCTTTATACTGGTCATACTGGTCAATGCTAACATTCTTCTACAGCCATGCTCATTGACGAGCAAGCAGATATTTCTGCTGATATCCCATTGACCTATGCATAATTCTGCTAAGGGACCCTCCGATCTGACCTGTGAGTCGTGTAAACCATGAACCACTACTGCACAGTCACAGCTGAAACCCCAGTGCTCCCAGTACAATGCCTCTCCACTTTCAAAAAGTAATAACCGCTTGTCCTGTTAGGGGTCACGGGAGTCTGGAGCCTATCCCAGTTGACACTGGGTGAGAGGCAGGGTTCACCCTGGACAGGTCACCAGACTATCACAGGGCTGACATATAGAGACAGACAACCATTCACACCTACGGACAATTTAGAGTCACCAATTAACCTGCATGTCTTTGGACTGTGGGAGGAAGCTGGAGCACCTGGAGGAAACCCATGCTGACACGGGGAGAACATGTCGGAGCACCTGGAGGAAACCCACGGTGACACGGGGAGAACATGCAACACTCCACACAGAAGGGCTCCCTAATTACAGGGTTCGAACCAGAAACCCTCTCGTTATAAGGCAACACCGTGTTGCCTTTTCAACCTCTGCTCCAACACATGCTCACTCCGACCTCGTCACATATTGATGTTTGTCCACGTCCACATACAGTGTTGTTGGTTGTTGACATTCTGGGTCACAGTGTCAAGTTCTGCCTGTTACATGCATTGTCTTCTTTCAAGATACACTTCTGTTTTCACAGGAAATTTAAAGTTTACATTCAGTTTCTTTAAAAATAAATGCACTACTTTGGTACAACACTGCAGATTGACCTTTTTTTCCTTCAACAACAAACACACGTGGTTAGAGTTAGGCAACAAAAACATGTGGTTAGATTCAGGAAAAAATAACAAGCTTTGGCCTTGGAATATTATGGGATGCGAACACCGCTCTCTCAGGTGAAAGTTGGTGTTTGCCTGCCCCTGTCGGACTTTAGTCAACTTAACGTTTGTCCTTGTCCCGCCATGTTTCCCCCTGATGCCTCCGGATGCCATTCCTATAACAGCAACCAGCCACTTATCACGCCAGCGTTAAAGGATGCTTTTCTTCATTGGTTTCTGACGCCACAACTCACTGCCCAAGCATCGGATTTCCACAACTTTGGAATGAGACTGGGCTCTCTGTTCAGTAAAAATCAGTGTTGGGCAAAGGTAAATTATAACATTCTCATAAACTGTTATTCTCCTGAGGTAAGGATTGGGAAATAAGGTCAAATGGGACAGTATAAACACATTTATTGTTTTTTTAATTTGATGACAGGTGATCTCGGGTGTGACATCACACAGGTGGGTGGGGCAAGATTCAAAATCCAAATCAGCTGTTTGAAGGAGAACTTTGTTCATGTTTTCACAGCACGATAAAATAGTTACTTGAGAGGGAATTATAATGTATCATATGCAAAAGATATTTTTCATGTGAAAGGTTATGTCAAAAGTTGTTTCATAAATGTGTAAAACTGAACGTGTGCTCACTCAAAGGTCGTGTAATGAAGGACTGAAAAACTGTAAAACTTTAAAAGAATATATAACAATGAAAAACAAAAGACACAACAATATAAAAACATCGGTGGGTACGGATGAAATTGTTATTTTAAATATTGGTGTCAATATCAGCCCAGAATTTCAAAATTGCTGCATCAATAGTTAATAATAATAATAATAATAATAATACATGTGAAACATAGGCTGTTAACAGCTTCCCTGTTGCAACGAGTTGTCTGAAGGAAAGGTAAAGTAAAGAGTACCTCAAACTGATATTTTGTTTTTTAGCTGGGCTTTAGGAGGCTAAAATAGGTTTAATCGCTGACCCCCCCACAACAGTACATTACTTAGCTTTCGTGGAGATGTACTCCTGTCTGTCTCCAAACTGGGGCCGTTCTGACTGCCATCCACTATAGATAACACATTGACTATGGATAAGTCCCTCATACAACCTCACTTCAAGAAACACGAACCATCCCTTTAAATTGACATATTTTTGAATGGAGTTTGGCGAGAGCATCCTTTCTTTAAAGTTTCATGCCCAGGCAGGAGCGTCATCACTCCGTCGGTGTACAGCTCTCCATGTAGCAGCCGTTAGTAGCCTGCACTGCGGGTTCAGTTTGATTCACAGCTGTTATTCACCGTTTTAATAACAAATAATTGACGTTAATAGCGTGTTAGCTAACCTGCAGACTACTGTTCAGTCAGTATCGCTGTCTTCAGTCAGCTAGTTTAATGCCCCGAATCATACAAACCACGACGAACCACAAAACTGTTGAAGTACGTACAGCCAACAAGACTTTTAATACATTTAAGGGAGAAAATTTATAAGATATTTTGGGAAACGAGCTCCTCTCTGCCCGAACTGCCATATTTCTGCCGTATTGACTTCCTCACACAACAAAACGTCGCTGCGGCGTGTTGCATTCTGGTAAATGTGGTCAGACGGGCGTTGACGTTGCTAATTTTAATCATTTCAAAATACATGCGTGATAACTTAAACAGGTATTCCATCTATTTTGAGTTAAACTGACGCAAGAGACAGTGAAAATAAGTCTTTAAAAAAAATTCTAGTGTAAATATTTAACAGAAATGACAGCAGAACTACAAGTCCCACAATCGTACGTCATGACGTAATACGTTTAGCAACGGTCAGTTGCTAAAGGAAAAAAACAGCCGCTTCCGTGTTGTTCTTGTGATATTTTGGCAAATAACTGTCGTTAGCAGAGCCGGAGCTCGTCTGACAGCCTCGCCGGAGTGTGACTATCATGATTTTGTGAAGCTGACACACAGTTTCAGCTTTTCTCGCCCGACATGTCGCTGCTGCAGAGCTCCAAGAAAAAAGACAAGCGTATTTTGTCTGGTACCTGCCCAGACCCGAAATGTCAGGCGAGGCTATTCTTCCCCGCTTACGGCTCCATTAGCATCGAGTGCACGGAGTGTGGTCAACGCCACGAACAGAAGAACCTGTTAAATGTCGAAGAAGTGACTGACCCAGATGTTGTGCTCCACAATCTGCTCAGAAACGCCCTGCTCGGCGTCACCGGGGCCCCGAAGAAAGGCACGGAGCTGGTGAAAGTAATGGGGCTGTCTAATTACCACTGCAAGCTGCTGTCCCCGGTCCTCACCAGGTACGGCATGGATAAACAAACCGGCAAAGCCAAGCTGCTGAGCGAAATGAACCAAGGTGAGATGTTTGACTGCTCGCTCCTGGGAGACAGAGCTTTCCTGATTGAGCCGGACCATGTGTCCACCATGGGCTACGGCAAGGACAGGTCCGGGAGCCTCATATACCTCCATGACACTCTGGAGGAGGTCAAGAAAGCCAACACCAACAGGGAATGTCTGATCCCGGTCCATGTAGATGGAGACGGGCACTGCCTGGTCCATGCTGTGTCCAGAGCGCTGGTGGGCAGAGAACTGTTCTGGCACGCCCTGAGAGAAAACCTGAAACAGAACTTCAAGCAGAACCTGGACTGCTATAAGGCCCTCTTTCAGGATTTTATTGATGCTGCTGAGTGGGAGGACATCATCAATGAGTGTGACCCCCTGTTCATCCCACCTGAAGGCGTGCCTCTTGGACTACGCAACATCCACATATTTGGTCTAGCCAACGTCCTCCACCGACCCATAATCCTGCTGGACTCCTTGAGTGGAATGAGGAGCTCTGGGGATTATTCGGCCACCTTCCTGCCCGGGCTGGTGGCCGAGGAGCAGTGCAGGGGGAAAGACGGGAAGCTCAACAAACCCATCTGTATCGCCTGGAGCAGCTCGGGCAGGAACCACTACATCCCTCTGGTGGGAATCAAGAACACTGTGCTGCCCAAACTGCCTGCGCGCCTGCTGCCGAAGGCTTGGGGCGTCCCTCAGGAGCTCATCAAGAAGTACATCAAGCTGGAGCCAGACGGGAGCTGTGTGATTGGCGGTGACCGCAGCCTGCAGGATAAATATCTGATGCGGCTGGTAAACGCCATGGAGGAGGTGTTCATGGAGAAGCACAACATCCACCCATCGCTGGTGGCTGATGTGCACCAGTACGTCTACAGGCGCACCGGGGTTATTGGCATCCAGCCTGAAGAGGTGACCGAGGCAGCTAAGAAGTCGGTGATGGAGAACCGGCTGCACCGCTGCCTGATCTGTGGCGCCCTCTCTGAGCTCCATGTCCTGCCGGAGTGGCTGGTTCCTGGTGGGAAGCTCTACAACTTGGCCAAATCCACTCATGGCCAGCTGCGGCCGGACAAGAACTACAGCTTCCCCCTCAACAATGTGGTCTGTTCCTATGACCCCCAGAGAGACGTCCTCGTCCCAGATTATAAACTGAGCTCCCTCAACACCTGCAACTGGTGTCATGGCACATCGGTCCGCCACATCCGGGGCAACGGGTCAGTGGTTTACCTGGATGGAGACCGAACCAACACCCGGTCCCAGGGTGGGAAGTGTGGGTGCGGCTTCAAACATTTCTGGGAGGGGAAGGAGTACGACAACCTCCCTGAGGCCTTCCCCATCACGTTGGAGTGGGGGGGTCGGGTGGTGAGAGAGACGGTGTACTGGTTCCAGTATGAGACTGACCCTGCTTTGAACAGCAATGTGTATGATGTGGCCATGAAGCTGGTCACCAAGCACTTCCCGGGGGAGTTTGGCAGCGAGATCCTGGTGCAGAAAGTAGTCAACACCATCCTGCATCACACCGCCAAGAAGAACCCAGACGAATACAACCCAGTGTCCATCGACGGGGCTCATGTCCAGCGTCTCACCGACACTGCGGAGACTCAACCGGCGGTGGATCCCCAGCCGCCCACTAAGATCATCTTGACTGGTCAGAAAGCAAAGACGCTCCACAAAGAGGAGCTGACGATGAGCCGAGCGGAGCGCAGCATCCAGCAGAGCATCAGCGAGCAGGCCCTCGTCACGCAGAAGCGACGGACTGACAAGCTAAAGCAGGAGCAGAAGGGCCACGGCCGGACGTCTTCCCCCCGTGGGTCTCCAGAAATCTCCTCCTCCTCTTCAGCTCCAGCCACGCCCACCAAATCCTCCTCCCCCTCCTCATCCAATAAGGAGAAGAAGATCCGTGTGACCACCAGTGATGGCAGGCAGGCCATGCTGACCCTGCAGGCCCACACCACCTTCTCAGAGCTGCAGAGGAGCATCGCCAACCAGTTTGGCGTGCCACCGGCGCAGCAGTGTATCCGCTACGGCTTCCCGCCCAAAGAGCTGCTCCCCCCAAAGGATGGCGAGGAGAATGAGCCAGTGGCCCTGCAGCACGGCGACAGGGTGACGGTGGAGATACTGAGGGGCCCTGAGGACAAGAGCCCCGCGGCCTCCATACCCAGAGCCTCCAGCTCACACTCCGCCCTGCACTTGGGGAAGAGCGAGGATGCCGTGACGTCCGGCAGGAGCAGCCGTGAACTCCAGGACAGCATCGACCTTGAGATGTCCTCCCTCTGTCTCCTAGCTACCCTGATGGGTAAGAATCAAACTGGTGACGTGTAGGTCGCCTCCTCATGAAGCTCATACAAAACACTGAGTTTAGTTCTGGGAGCAGATTAAAGGAATATTTCACCATAATGACCAATTTTTACCTTAAAATTGTGAATATGTTTTCCCACATTCCTCTGCAGTGAATGAAGAATCCAGAAAAGGTGAACATGTTGATTTATTCATTGACTGGAGGCGAAGTTTAACAACAACAAATTCAAAACATCCGTTTACAAACTCTCACAAGACTCGTGCAGTATAATCCAAGTCTCACTGATCCAGTCGCACGCTCGGTTCTTCACAAACAGGTGCAGTTTCAAACAAAATCTTAGTATTGGAGTCTGACTCTGAAGTGAGCGTACGTAAGTTTCACTTTCAGTTCAGCTGAAATGTCTGTGTGTTGAACATGGGACTGCAGAAATGAGTCGTGAGAGTTTGTAAACTGATGTGTTGATTTCGTTGTTGTTAAATGCAGACCCCGATCAATCACTAAATCAGAATGTTCACCACATTTAGATTCTTTGCTGGAGGCATGCAAGTTTTTCCACAAATTGAACTGAACACAGAGTGAGTAATTGATATACAAATAGTCATTTTGCAGGTAAAGCAATCACATTATGCAGCTGATATGTGGCAAGTCTCTTTATCAGCTGAACTTAGGCTGGTTGGAAATTAACTTTTTTTTTGTCCTGCCACTGTGGCTGGTGGACAGCAAATCTAACAGTCACTTGCATAATTTTATCAGCATTTGGCTGGTGGCTGGTGCTAAATTCCAACCCTGGCTGCAACGACTGATTGTTTTCATTATTGATTATTTGATTGATTATTTTTTTAACTAATCAGTGAAGAGCAAACAGGGAAAATGATTCAGTCAGGTGATATGAAATAGAGACAGACAGAAAATATTTGAACATGGTGCAGTTTGTCCTCTCAGGAGAAGAGTTTACGTTTGACAGTTTGATTTGAATATTTTCCAACTAAGACTAAAGTTAGCTTTGCTGTTAATGCTGAATAAAGTCTCCAGTTAAAGAAATCCACCATCTGAAAGAAGAATTACACATATCTTTGCTGTAATTATCACTAAATTCAACTTTAAAGGAGCGGTGTGGGGGATTTAATGGCATCATCAAGCAGTGAGAATTGCAGATTGCAACCAGCTGAATCTCCTCCTGGTCAGAATCCCTTCAGTGTTCATTGTTCAGGAGGTTTTTACTGTGAGCTGAATTATCCACAGAGGTCTCTTCCTCTGTAAAACAAACGGACCAGCTGATTTAAACGGGTAAAAACACTGAATAAAGCAGTTTAATGCCAAAAATCAGTGTTTTTCCGAGGCTGTTTGGCTTGTCAGAGGGGCTGCTTTCTACAGTGGCTGACTCGAAAACACGAACGGCCCTATCTAGAGCCAGTGGTTGGTTTGTTTGTTCTGGGTTGTTCTGTAGAAACATGGCGGTGCAACATAGCAGACGCCATCAGGGCGGACCCACCAGGCTCCCAGGCAGTGCGGCAGGCTTTGAAGCCAATTCTTGATATGGTTAAACAGTGTAAATACACCGTCACGTGATGCCCTGCGACCCCAAAAGACTTTAAGTTTCTTTATGCTTCTGCGTACGCTCAACACAATGTGCACGCAGTTGCTCCACAGTTGCTGTGTGCCTATCATAGTTCTGCGTCCTGTTGGTCTATGTAGCTATGCAATTCCCCGCCAAAGCGCTTGGGGGCGCTGTGTTCTTTTATATACCTACCTAGAGTCTGTGCCGTCTATGGTCGTTGCTCGTTCATTGTTTGTTTATCTTCCAGTTTTACTTTCGTCACAGTGAAGATGGCGACCGCGAGAGAAAGACTGCTGCTGGAGCTCGAAATGATCGACATTGAACAACAATTGCTCTATTACTTAGTAGAGAGAGGCGACTGCGCCGATGGTCTGTACGCCCGTTGAATGGCTCGAGGCGGTGTTGTGGGACTGCAGCGGGAAGTGAAACCTTGTGAAATGCCGGAAATGACGTAGTTTGAGGGACCAATCATAGCTCTTGCAGTCTGTGTTGGATCTGTGTTAGCTAGACGTTGCAGGTTGCGTCTCTATGTCGGTCGCAGAGGGACGCAACGCCTTTGCAAAGCCCTCTGCGTCGTAGGTGCGCAGAAGCATAAACCTTGCTTTACATGGCAAAGGAGAGGTCTGTAAACCACAGGATGCATTTTGTTGAGCATCACAACCCATGAAATGACACATTTCACCATCGCAATTTACTTCATGTGGTCTGCTAACATTTGGTGAGTCGAGAAGAACCACAAGATTGAAACATTTTATCTCCATTCAAGATAATGACGCACTAAACAGGAAGTAGCCGGTTTTGCTGGCGAAGTCTCTAATGAGCCTGCTCCATAGGCCCAGTGATGCGGAAGCAGCACCGATAATCCCTGGATCATCCTGGTAATTTTATACACAGCAGTTGAACCATGTGAGCAACTTTGATAGAAATGAGCAGGGCCCTGCCGACGCTGTATCCACTTCTCTTTATACATCCATGGGACCTGCTCCCTATGAAGATATATTCGTCTCGTTTTAAGGTAAAAAAAACACAATGACTCTTATTTTCAGGCGATTATTATTAGATTCCATTTCTGCCAATATATCCTCCTAAATCCTGCACACTGGAGCTTTAATTTCTGTACACCAATTAATTATCCTTTAATGTAAGTTTCCCCAGATTATAGAAATGATTAAGTTTCTTGACACACATCAAAGAAACTACTTTAAACATACAAAAAAGTTTCGATGAGCTGTTTTATTTTGGAGAAGTCTCCCGTCATTATTCTGACCAGTTGGATCATGTTTATTTTTGTCCGTCGGCATCATGTTGCACATCAGATCTTCACAGAAATTGAATCACAGGTTATATAATTGATTAGGTTCTCTGCTTTCCTCTGAAACATGACAAAACTGAGACCAAATTAAGACCTCGCTAATGGTTGATGTTTGACTTTGATCTTTTATTTCACAGACTAAAAGATTAATTAGTTTCAAAACGTGATCAGCAAAAGCATGATTAATATGTAAAGAAAACATTCTTCTCATGTTTGGTTGGTTTATTAGACACATAAATGTTTCAGCAGCATGATTAACATGAACAAAAAGTGATGTCCTGTGTGGTGAATTGGCTCCCCTGATACCCATTCACTGTCTGAAGTCACACAACAGCTGATTAAATCATTAATTGATCATAATTTGGTCTGTATCTGCTCTACAGTACGTAGATGTCTGTTGGAGCTTGAAGTCTTAGTTTTGCTGAGCTCAGTGGTCGTATTTGAAGCTGTAGTCTGCAGAGTTGTGTATGATCATCATGGTGCAGTGCTCAGAGCTACTTGTCTTAAAACAACTGTCAGGTGCCTGTACGGACGCTGAAATGTTCCTTTAATCAGTTCATCAAAATCCATAGTCCTCGCTCTGCGGGAAAGTACAGTCATAAGTTTATCAGACGTTAATATGAGACTGTCTGAGTAAATCAAATCAAGTGGATATTTCCACAGTCATAAAATTTGCTCAACATATGCTCAGAGGGACAGTTCACCCCAAATCAGAAATACACATTTGTTCTCTTACCTGTAGTGCTATTTATCAGTTTAGATAGTTCTGGTGTGAGTTGCAAAATGTTGGAGATATCAGCTGTAGAGATGTCTGCCTTCTCTCCAGTATAATGGAGCCAGATGTCACTCACCCATCTAGTTTCACTTAACTGGAGAGAAAGTAGACATCTCTTGTGTCCGATATCTCCAACACTTGGCACCTCACACCAATATTTAGTTTTGTTTTGGGGCCTGAACTGTCCCTTTTAAAAGACTGACACAGTGATGCCAAATGGCGTGCGTCAAAACAGGTTCCCCTTTTGTGTTTTTTTAATGTATAACCTCACACTGACAGCGTCTAGACATGCATTGGCGCCAATGGGTGCATCACCATGTGGTACTTCACGTCACTGTCCTATTTCCAGCCCCCTAAAAAACAATATTTTTTTTCCACTCACTCTGTGTTAGTTCATACGGTTCCTGTAGCAGCTCTTTTTCTCTGCTCCCATGGGAGCTCGACTCCTCTCATCACTATGGATGTTGAAAGAGAACTCTGCTGTTGTCCCTCACGCGTGTGAATGAATGAGGAGAGACTCATTGTTGAGGCCGAGAAATATTCTGAGCTATACGACCCAAAGTCCTGTCATAAAAAGACAATGACAAAAAAAGATATTGCAGAGGTGGTGCAGTGGTGTTGGTGTGTTTTCAGGTTAACTCAGACAGCTGAAGTCTCACATTCATTTTAGAGTTAAGTTCTGAAGGTATTTTCACAGAGCATAAGGACTGGATTTTGTTCCCCATCACTGTCATCAGAACCTCATTAGGAAGGCATCTTTAATGTCCAGTAGGATTACTGTGTGTGAAACCTGTTCATAGTGTTCATATTGTCACCTGACCTGACTGTGTCAAATCAGGATGAGGTCATACAGTTTGGTCTAACAGCAGTTGGAGCAGACGTGTCTTTATTTCAGCAACATCTGGAGTGAATCTGCATCTGTTAGACACTGGATGTGTTCATGCTGCCACAGAGTCGCTTATTTCTCTTGCTGCTCCTGCACGCACACACACTGTTGTCCAGGTGCACAGCATACACTAGTTCCTGATTGGTCACAGCAGGCAGATGAATAACAAACTGCAAGTATCCGCTGAGCGGCTGACAGAGCTCACAGGCCGCAGGTGACGCCCGTCACAGCGTCTGTTTCTGATCAGCTGCTCTGAACGCTACCAGAAACAAGTCTGTGAGTGTGTGTGTGTGTGTGTGTGTGTGTGCGTGCTCAATGTGCTGACTCAGGCCTCTCGCTCCCCTCCCCGTCTCACCTGCCAACAGGGTCAAAGTTCACGGCTGCGTCCAGATAAACAGGTCGGCCGGCCAACAGTCAGCGTCTGTCGATATTCAGGAAGGTTTCATCTGCACTCTGAACGCTCTGCAGGCCTGACACTGCACTTCCTGTTAGCAAGAGCTCATATTCAATAATCCTTCCGTCTGATTAAAAACACAAAACATCCGCTCAGCAGACAGAGTCTGTCTCTCTGAGCCGGAGCTCAGCGTCTTCATGATGACAGTTTATACAGTAGAAATGTGAAGATGCTAATATCCTGTCTGCTTTTAGGTGATCATACACCAACACCACTTGTTTTACTGTAATTTATATATTAAAACAACAACTTTCAATGTGTCTGCCTGTTTGACAGCTCATGTTGCTCCCTGTGATGAGCTGGGGAGTAAATTCTCCTGAGTGACACACCAAACTACAAAAATAAGGCCAGGCTGTAAAAAAAATAACTTTTCCTTTAAGACAGTGATTATATCAGACATTCAACCAACTTTAAAACTCAGTGGTGCTTCTGTTTTCATGTGGTCAGAACATCAGCGCTGTGTTTCAGCTGGTTTGTTAAATCCAGTTTCTCTCTGTGTTCCAGGCGAGGACGTTTGGTCATATGCAAAGAAGCTGCCGCACTTATTCCAGCAGGGTGGAGTCTTCTACAACATCGTCAAGAAGGACATGGGTACGTTTGTTGTCACTCAGTGTGGTGCGTTTACATGCTCTTCATTAACCAGGATACTTGAAAACAGCGTGACGCCTGATTCCTTTAATACAGATTTGGAGAGAAATCTAATTTCTGACCTGCTGCATGAAAACGCAGATTCTACAGGTTACTACAATACATTTAAACATGTGCAACCTCATGTATACCAGCAGGAGAAGTAGTTTTTGGTGCAGTAATGTCAGTATGTAATGTGGTCATGTTAATGGAGAAAACAGAGCACTAATCCACTCCATCACATTTGAAGCATTTGTCCTGAAGATGCTTCATTTTTTTCACTGTTTTTGCTGCAGTCACAATGGTGACATCTGCTGGCTGTTTCTGGGTTTTGTTTTTATGGAAGGATTAGTGCACGACCAAAAAAACAGAGCGTCAAAGGCTGACTCTAAATGTTTGGACTTCACTGCACTCACAGACTTTGCAGTGACATTACCAGGAAGTCTGCGAGTACTGAGGGCTGTCCAAATCCACAATTCATCCCGTGCACAAGCAGCCTCAGGTGGACTTTCTGCAGACTTCCAGAGCGTCCACTTGGTGTGCAGACTTCCCCAGATGTGACTGATTTAAATACTGGCAAATTCAGCCAATCCCCTTAAATTCTGCAGTTTGCATTGTTGCAACATGTCCAATCACCACAATGTTACTTAAAATTTGACAGTTTATAACCAGGAAAATCTCATTTCATTGTACAGCTGCACACAGTGTATTGAGTCGCTCAGCCCCTCTCTGTCTCTGTTTATCATGAGACTGCTGCTGGACCTCGGACAGTGTCACACACACATGCACCCCTTTTCCATCAACATGGAAAAAAAATTCTGGTTCCCTAATTGTGAGTCGTTTAGAGCATTTCGATCAATGATAAATTGGTCCAGAACCGCAAAGTTTATCATCAGCTGGAACCAAAAAATAACTGGTTTTCCTTGACCTGAAGAATACAAATATCTGTACTAACCCAACAAAAGTTCACAGGTAAAAACTATATAGTAAATAGACAACAATAAACACCCTCCTTTGATGACACATCCTCGATTACAATGGTTCTCTTCAAAACTGGTGGAAACGTGGGCTGGTTCACTAGAGAGCACCAAGGTTCCTTTAACGAAACCAGTTCAAGATCCCGAGCTAATTTGGTGGAAGAGGGTTAACAGTGATGAAGCTAACATCACCCAACATTTATCAATAGGTTGAACATCAGAGTGGAGCTGTTTCGGTGTCAGTGTAAGATTGTAGGGGCCGTTGAATGGCTCAGTGTCAGATGTTCACAGATGCTGCTGTGTTAGCACATGCTAGCTGGCAGTCAGCTGTTGCTGCTCCGCTCCCATCCCTCCTTATATTTGTTCAACTATTTTCTGCAGTATAAGATTAACTGGATAGAAATTATTATTGACTTTGTGTCTCAACATCCTGAACGGTCTGTGATCGTCCTCTGTTTCAGGCCTGATGGACGGGAAGCACTGCACGCTGCCTCACCTGACGGGGAAAACGTTTGTTTATAACGCAGCAGAGGAGCGCCTGGAGCTCTGCGTAGACGCTGCTGGTCATTTCCCCGTCGGCCCTGATGTGGAGGAGCTGGTGAAAGAGGCGCTGGTCCAGCTGCGCTCTGAGGCGGCCACCAGGGGCAGCAGAGAGGGGAGTCCATCCCACGGCGTGCTGCGACTTGGCAGTGGCGGCGTTGTCCGTAAGAAGGAGCAGCTGCAGAGCGTCACTGCCTTCCAGGGTAAGGGCCACTCTCTGGGCAGCGCCGGGGCCTCCTCCCCTCCAGAGCACCGGCCCATCACGCGCCAGCACAGCAGTGGTGTGGACCTGAGCGCCAGCGTGTCCCGAGGCCCCCCAGACCTGTCAGACATCCCTGAGGACACCACCAGGGAGCTGGTTCGCATGGCTCCAGGCTTCGTCACCATGAAGGACGGGCGTGGTCTGGACCCCAGCCTGATGGAGCAGCAGCGGAAGAAGCTGCAGGAGATGGTCTCCTCCATCCAGGCTTCCATGGAGCGCCACCTGAGAGAGCAGCAGAGCGCCGGCGCAGGGGACGAGGCCAGACAAGAGCGGACTGGCGGGACGAGGACGGGCGCAGGCCAACCAGCATCTACAGTCGACCACGAACCTCCAGCGGCAGCAGGTGCGACGATGGCGAGCAAACCAGACGGGAAGGCGGAGGAGCCAGAGGAGATGGAGAGTCAGGACGCCGGGCAGAGCAACGCCACCGAACCCATGGATCACTCCTGATCACTCCTGAACCCCAGCACCGCCCCGCCCCCGCCCCGCCTCGCCGGCATCTTTGGGTCATAACGCCTCAGGTCGGATCCTAAAGCTTTGGTCTTCATCGTGTTTTGTTGTCTGTTCTGCATGACTAAAGAGCGAGCCGACCGTCCTCACCTCTCTGCAGACTCGCGGTGGGACAGTAATCCATGAGGCGATATATTGAGACGCGCTGCTTGCGATACATCATCACGACATTATCACACCTCTGCTGCAGTGCTGAGGCTGCTGTGTGTGTGTGTGTGTGTGTGTGTGTGTGTGTGTTTATACTCTATGCACTTTGGTACACACTCTCTCATCTCAGCTGCCACACCTGAAACTTCACAATGCAGTAAATAATAAACAAACACAACACGATTCATTTCTGCTTTTGAGAGAAATTATTTTGCCTTTCTTAGATAAGTTCTTCTCAGCTGATGATGTATCGTAACTGACCGTCTTGCATTGTATCGCAGAGCGGCGTGCGTGGTGACAGGATTGTATCTTTAGCCCTGTGATTCCCACCTGCAGACCGTTTAATCCTCTCGCTACAAACACGCACACCGAGATCGGAGGCCAAAACACCGCTCGGATTCACGCGTGAGACGCATTCCTGTAGATAGAAGAATCCTCTGAGTCTTAATCTGCCACCAGGAGGAGAGCTGCCGGTCGCCGGCAGCATAATGTCCTGCAAACATGCTTCCGTTTAAGTGCACGCTCTGAGAAAGGTGCACCAGCCTCTGTACGCATCAACGCCTTCATCGCCGAAATCTGCTTTTCCACCGTCCGTCCGTCTGTCTGTCTGAGGACCACGGGGAGAACTTTGGATCTGTGTTTGCTTGACTGCCTGACTTGACCTGAAATTATTATTTTTTCCTCCCCAACGGTCACCACATAAAATTTTCGTTTCCCGAATAGTGATTGATGTGAAGCGCCTGAATGCAGCTTCAGACCAACCAGTGCCACCTGCAGGTGAGGAGTGTTCTCAGTATTTTTTGCATTTTAAACCTTTAAAATGTTAGTTGTGTTTATTCCTTAAGACAGTGCAACATCACAAGTCTGCTGTCCGCACACTGTGGCAGATATCATCGTCTGTTGGCCGAGAAAAATGTCAAATACATTAACATCATTTTCCTCTTACCTGTAATGATACTTATCAGTCTAGATTGTTCTGATGTGAGGTGTCGAATGATTGCGATATCAGCTGTAGAGACAGCACTCAACAACTCACACCAAAACTATCTATACTGATAAATAGCACACCAGATAACTGGAAGAATGCATATTTTTGGTTTTGGGGGTGAACAGTCCCTTTAAGAAGATCATATTAGTTGGGCTCCGTTGGCAAACAAATACCAAAAAGAACTTAAACTGTACATTGATTCTGAATAATTGAACTGTCAGGTTCGCTGTGATTAAATTCCTCCTCGTCTTGAATGTTCACTTGTACAACAGTTCACTCTGGACAGGTGACAGATAATTATATTATTAAAGACATCTGATGGTCAAGTGCCTGAAAAAGCGTCACGTGCCATGAACACGTTAAATAAATGATAAATCTCCAGAAGCAGCCATAAGCTGTTTCACTTTGAGTATTTAATATCAACTGGAGGTCAGTGTGGCAGAGTGATGTCACGCAGTTTGTATAAAAAACAAACACACACACACACAAAGAAAACTTAAAGTTTTAAAAACTGCAACAGTAACACTTGTTTCCTGCAGATGGCACAATTTAAAAATCATTCTCCAGAACAGTCCTGCTGTTCCACCTGGTTTTCTGTCTGCAAAACTGAAACTTTGAAATACAAGTATGTGAGCACAACCTTGGCTGTGGACTTTAAAAGCTACAACAAAGCTGTGTTTGTTGGAACGCCAACAAAATAATTTGTGAATGGTATACTGTGCAGGATTGTAATTTAGTGTTAAAGTCAAAAGTAAAAGCCAACCCCATATTCACTCCGGTGTGATGTTTTGCCACACTATTTTTGTTCGGCGCTGTGTCTCTTGGATGCCTGCTGCTTACAGTCTGGCCCCTGATCGCTAAGTTTTTATAAACTGGTTTATAGCAGATCCTAAAAAAATCTTAAGAGGCATTGAATTAATTAATGTAAAAAAATAGGCCTCAATTGGAATTAAAATGTGTTGAATGAATCTTTCAAAAGTTAAAATGCCAAGACATGAGAAGTATGACTTTATCAAGCGTTTATGTTCTGCTGTTTCAAACGCAGATCAGGAAAGTGAAATCAACAACATGAAGATCCATTGTCTGCTAGCTATCTGACACTGACAGCTATCTGCTGTCACTGTACCCTGCACGACACAGGGAAGTGGAAATTCAACGAAATTGGCTCTTTAACACAGAGAACATGGCTGAAACGAGGCTCGTGTATTTGATCCTACAAGTTTTCCAAACTCAGCATGACTCCCACATGCAGAGTGAGAAACATAAAACCACCAAAAAACCGTTCTGTTCTACCATTGTCTCTGCAACAAGACAAAAACATGTCTCCTTCAGTTTTGGCTACTGTAAAATTGTCTTAAATGTAATTCCAACAGGCATTATAAAGTCTTACAGATTATTTAATCTAACTTGCCTTGACCTTGTATAAAGCAGCGACCTCCCCTGAGCACAGCAGGGGTAAATGCCCATAAACATCCCCAACACAAAAAATAAGTAAGGATTACTTCTGTATGAATCTATATGTTGTTTGTTTAGAAAAATCCTGCATAGTATTCCTTTAAATTTACTTTGTAACATGGAGAGAAACCTTTAGCTTTGTTTCAGATTTTAAGGAGCTGTGTAAAGGTGTGGCAGGTGTGTTGAACTGGTCTGAGAACCAGTGAACAGCTCCCCCTTGTGGAGAATCTAGAGTCCAGTCCATGAGGTGCTTCATATCTAAGAAAACCAAAAAAAAACAAAAAAAAAAAACAAAAACGGGTGAATGGGTAAAAAAATCAGTCATTACGCTCTTGGCTTTTTAAATACGTTTCCTAAGTCAAGAAAATCTAAATATTTATTTACTTTTTTCCAGAAATTTCATCTAATTTGATCTTAAATGTTAAGTTGCTAAAAGCAGGTTAAAGTTGGCCAGTGAAAAGTCAGAGAAAGATTAATGAAGAACAAGTTTTCTTTGCTCTGAAGCTGCGGTCACATTACTCCATTCAACAAAACTGCGCTGAGAAAAGGACATGATGACCACAAACTGTCTGTCGGTGTGACACTGTTCGAAACATGCTGCTAGTATGGAGACAGACTTGTGTCAGTATTATTTGTGTTCAGATCTGTGACAATCCATGTGTAAATATGTGTCCTATAAATATAAAACACCTTCTACGGAAACAAATACACTCAAAAATATTTGCAAATATAAAACTGCCCTACAAATATACATACACTGCATATACCCACAGGCATTTGTGAATCCAGTTTTTATTTTGGAATAAAAAAAAACAACAATTCTGCACTTGCAGATTTGCATTTTACACAGTTTTGAGACAAATGTTTCACCAGTCTGAACGAAATCCACTCGTATCACTCATATTCAGATAGCACGTGATCACCTGCAAGGCTTTTCATTTATTTTTAGATTAATTTAATATAATGACAGATTTTTTGTTGAGGACTTTGTGTAGAGGCAGATCCATTTTACATTTGCACAGTGTTTTGTTAGTGTACAGTTTGTTTTGCATTTGTAGAGAGACTTAAATATTTACAGATTTATGGTGATAGATTCATGTCAGTATAATTTTGTGAACAAATAGACAATCTGTAAATTTGTAATCTGTAAATATTTAATCACCTTTTACAAAAACAAATACAAAAAAAGTTTTGTTAACTAAAAACGGATCTGCATGTACATGAACGAACCCAACAATTAAAAAAAAAAAAAAAAATCTGTGAATGCACTAATTTAAAAATGAGTGAAAAGCACTGGTGAGTATCTCGCAAACGTTTAAAACCTGAAAACGTACACACTAGTATCTATCATTTTCAGATAGCACGTGATCGCCTGCTGACAACTTCATTTCTGCATTTCAAAGTAAGATGACGCAGTTGTTCTTAGGTTAGAAAAATATTCACAAATGCTTTTCATTTATTTTTAAAATAATTTAACGTGTTCACAGATTTTGTCTTATTTGTGTATTTGCAGATCTGTTTTATATTTGCAAAATATTTTTGTGAGTTTACAAATCTTGTTTTTGGAAGGAGTTTTATAGTTACAGATTACACATTGACACAAGAACTGTTGATGTGTTCACACAAAAAAATATTGACACAAATCTATCTCCATACGCTATAACAATAACTCAATGCCCAAACTCTGCAGCAGAGTTTCTGTTGGCCGAACGTGTATATCTGCACCGACAAAGTTGGCGAAAATTTCCTTCAATGTGTCCGTTGTTAAAGCAAGAGTGTGATGTGACCGTCCCTTCACTGTCTTTGGTTCATGTTTAAAACGACCCATTTAAAAAAAGAAGAAAAAGGCCAAAGATAAACCTGGTTCAAGTTTTAAGTCCAGTGTAAAAAATGTGGATCTGATATTTGGTGAAAGAGGCTCGCCTGCTTCTGTCCTATGCAAAGAAATCTTCACTGAACTTCCAAATAAAAACCTCTAAATACACATGTGAGAATCACATGAATCTGATAAACCCACAGCAGAGAGGTTTTATATCCAGTTTCTGCTGAAACCGTCCCCCAGACTGCAGATAAAAAATAGATTTAATTTATTTTTTTATTTCCTCTGCTTCTTTTCTTTAGTTTTGCAGTCAGACGTGCAGGGAGGAAAAGCAACAAAACATGTCTTTATAAGCATCTTCTCATAGTGTCGCAGCTTCTTATGAAACATGAGTTAAGATAAGATAAGATGTGGACAGTCTGTGCGGATAGTTGAGAGTGATTTGATTTATTCATGGATCTGAAAAACACTCCAGTCTGAAGAGCAACATGTTGAAGTCAGAACACTTTTTACTTTTGGTCAGTCTCTCCAGATTTTGTTTCATCGTCTCAGTCCCAACGAAGGGAAATCTTGACGCTCCAGCACACAGAGAGTTTAGACTGGAGGTTTTCAGAGCAGTAGGTCATGTGTTACACTCAAAGATTTCATGTTGAGGTTTTCACATACTTTTGGCCCTGTAGTGCACGTCTCCTCCGGTGCTTGGTCATTCACAAAGTGTGTGTGTGACAGATCCGTGTCCGGTTTCCATCTGAATTTAGCTCTGTATACTCTTGCAGGAGAAGTATTTTGCAGCAGCAGGATTAGAGAGTCTTAATCTTCTTTTATACACTCATTGAAGGTTTAATCAAACAACCTGCTGCTTGTATCTCCAGTGTCATGGTGGTTTGATTCTTGATTTCTGCCTGTTGAGGACAAACAACACTCTTAAACACTCCCCTTAAAACCTTCAATGAGGAAAAGACTGTTTCAGGCTAAAGTTGGCTCTGACTCTTTATTTATTTATCAGAGGAGGGGATGGTTTGGGTGTCACTCAGTTTTTATGCCAGGCATTGTTTTCAGATGTGTGCGTCCGTCCCATTCATGTGAATGCGATATCTCAAGAACGCCTGGAGTGGATTTCTCTAAATTTGGCACAAAGGTCCACTTGGACTCAAGAATGAACCGATAAGAATTTGATGGTCAAAGGTCACTGTGACCTCACAGAAATTTTTGGCCAAGAATTCATGCACCAGTTCTAGTATGTCGTCTTGACCCCTTCATGGAGCTACAAATATTTTTCCTTGAGCATCTCTGAGTGACCGGGGAAAACAGCATGACTCTCCCGCCGCCATGAATGACCATATTTACACAAAATGAAGTATGGAGCGTTACTGTCTTCAGTGTTCTTATATTTCATTTGGACCATTGGCTCCATGACACTAACTAGCTTGCCGTCTGCAGATTACTTTATCAGCTGACATTGTTGATCATTTCTGTTTTCACTGTGATAAAGGATGTAATTTTGGCGATTTTATTTATTTTTTTTTTTTTATTGACCGTTTAAAGTTGATTGTCCCTCCCCTAAGCCAAATAAAAAACGTCCTCCCCGAGTCCTCCCTGGTTTTGCACCACCCTCTCCCCTCTCATAAGCACCGAACAGTCCCTAAGTTTTGTGAGTTCTTGTGAGGCAGAAAGTTGTTTTGACTGGTCCACAAAGATGTGCATGTGTTTTGTGCGCTGACATTTATCTACGCTTTATTAAATCAAAAGGATGATGACATAAGAGGCTCAACAGTTTGGTGCTGCTTCAGAAAACAGCTGTGGGTGATTGACACCTTCAGTGCCTCCTGAAGTCGTGATTAGACGCTTATAAAGACCTGTTTTCCCAGCATCCTTTGTGGCTTTTCTCACTACAATGATCCCTTAAAGTTCTGATTAGGACTTTCATTTGAATCACAGAAGGTTCAGAGTTCAGCAAAACTAGTTTCAAAGTAAGTGGTTTGACATTTTGGGAAATTCGCTATTTCTCATTCTTGCTGAGAGTTTGATGTTCTGATCGTTCTCGGGTTAGCTTAGCTTAGCCTAGAGACTGGAAACGACACGTTAGCCTGGCTCTGTCCAAAGGTAAATCCACCTGCCAGCTCCTCTGTTACATCCTGTTTGTTTTAAATCCCACAAAAAGTGTAAAAACAACCCACTGTAGTTTTACAGGTCTCTGGCCGGACTTTAGGCCAAGCTAACCAATCATGAGCCATCAGAACACAGATAAGCAAATTTCTCAAAACACTGAACTATTCCTTTAAAATGACTCCAAGTCAGTTTACACTTTTGTTGCCAACAAAATGTTTTTTTTTCTCCACATCTCCATGTTGTTGGAGGAACTGATCGTCGGGCCTTAACATCTGTTCATTCTTCACAAAATCGATTAGTTTTACAATATGGTTCTTTTTTTTTGGTTTTACTTTTAAATGCTTTTACCTCATTTGTTTTAGTATAAATCCTCATGTTCGACTTTAAAAGAAGTCTCTTAGTTTGACCTATGTTGTTTTCTGGTTTTTGGCGAAAACAAATCTCAAGCCTCAAAATGTGAGTCAGTCTTTTTGTTTTCAGATTTCTGAGGTTTATTTTGCCGTTGGGGTGAACAAATGTGAGACTCTGCACTTTGTTTGAGAAAAAGAGGGAATGTTAGCGTAGCATGCTCGTATTAGCTGCACTTGAATCTTCATCAGTCAGAGAAGAAACCAGTCGGTCGGTCGGATGAATCAAAAGGAAGAAGAGCTTGCTCAGACGACACTGCTGTAACAGACTTGAAGTTTTTGTTTGTGACTGCTGTACACTGACATGAATTGTAATCCAGTTGTATAATAGTATATATTGTAGTATATTTGGACCTGTACAGAAACTACAGAAACACAAATTGTTCAGTTCCTTCAGTTCTTTTTCTTTCTTTTTTTTTTTTTTTTTGTTAACTTCTCTCTGGTTTGCTAATAAAATATTGATGATACACGGCTTCGACATCGCTGTTTGCATGTGTGATGAATTTTCAACCCCAACAATAAACTCACTTCCTTCACTTGTTTTTGTATTTTGTCGTCACTGACAGATTTTTCTGTTTGTCTGTTATAAAAGAAGAAAAACAAATCATGGTTGTTCATGTTTGGTCTTTACATCTGTGTTGTCCATTTTCTGAACAGTGTTTGTGAACATGCCGCTGGTTTCACTTTATTTCTACAAGGATTAACCTGCAGAGAAAATGAAACTTACATGTTAGTGTGTCAAAGTGTTGCTGGGCAATAATATCAAGTATTAATATTATCATGTTGTATCATTCTACACATTCAAATTACTGATTTAAAGAGAAAATGAGTCATACAAGTTTTGTTGGACACGTTCAGAGTTTGTTCACATGTAGTTTAAAGTGATGAAACAGTTCAAGGCTTTGATTATTGAATTATTTTATATGTGATTTGGTGTATTTGCCACATCAGGATGTATGTCACATTTTGAAGTGTGCTTATTAATACTGTGGCATGCTGCTGACACAAGTTGAACACAAGAGCAATCAAACCTAAATATGTAAGTTGAATATTTAAAAGTGAAAGTGAAATTTAAAGTTAATTGCAGTTCTTAAAAGGAAATCATCAGGTGTGTTTCTTCCAGATGTTACTAAACAAAATGATGTTTTAATTTTTTTATTTCAATGTTTGTCAGTGTTTTGTTTATACAAAGAAACAAAAAAAGAGATTTTACACAACTTTTGTCACTTTTTTGAACTTTTTAATTATATATAATTATAAAAAATATAACCAAATTATATTTAATATTATTTTAAATTTAAATAGATTTATTTGGTTTTTATCATAGACTGCGAAATATTTTTTTTTACTTATTTTTTTACGTTATTTAATTAAAGTCATTTCCGGTTGAGGAGGAAATGCAGGTCACAGAATCTACCGGGTCACAAAGCGGAGCGAAACACCTGCGTCCTCTAAACAAACATGGCGGACAGAAAGAAGAACTGGAATCTTCGATGGTGCTCCCGTGTTTTTTATAGAGACTAAACGAGTTATTTAAAGATGTGAGTGTTTATTTCACTTTGTAAAACAGCACCGAAGATACTGAGGACTGATTTTAACAACAGCGACCTGTGGAGGAAACTTCCTCCTGCGGCTAATTACGCTAATTATGCTAACGGTGCTAACGATGCTAACCGGACCAGGCTGTCGAGGCTCCTCAAAGACAACGTCACATCTTTTACAAAACTCATCTCCAGGTATGAACTTTAACCAGTGTTGAAACTGGTGGTCCGTTAATCTCCAAATTTGACAGATGTTTCGATAGTTTCCAAGTAGGTCATGAAGCTAAAACCAAAAAACAAATGAATGTGAATGTAGAATGCTAATCGATGCAGCATGGTTTGATTGCGCGGCCTAAGGTGGTAATGGAAAGGGAGTACAGGTCGTCATGTAAAGATGAGCATCAACAATTTGAGATGAAACTCAACCTGAGAAACTGTTATGATAAAGCTCCGCCCATCACCTGACTCACCTGACACATACAGAGTAAATAACATTATCTTCGCGGTCTTTTTTCTCGGTTGCTTGCCGTTATCTGCCTGCTGCTGTTTGACAGTGACACCGATTTGGAAAAAAAAATCCCTATGCTTGATCATCAAATTGATATATTGATCCAGATCAATGCATCGTTACACCCCTACTAACTACCTAGCCCTGGCCCTCCCTGTCTTATAATACCACTTGTGCCTTGACAGGTGATAGTGAGTCACTAGTGTTCAGTCTTCCCTCAGTCCACAAAGGCTACATCCACATTAAAATGGTTTAAAAGCATAACTTTTTATGACACAAAAGATGGTTGACGCTCTTGGCAAGCGACCTTTATCACCATCCTAACCACCTTCTGGCAAGAAACCAAGTTTTACGGCAAAGAAAAGAAGTGATGTTAAAGACGCAAAACAAGAGGAAACATGAACGTGGCTTTCCACTGCTGGAGAGAGCTCTCAGCGAGCAAAGAGATGAGTTTCATTACTGAACTTGCAATGTTTCTTTTACACTGGCAAGTAACATGTAACGTGTGCAACTAATGACAACACAAACTATACAGAGAAACATTCTCAATGGTGTGTTTTGTCCTTTTAAGCTCCGTTTGTTTGGAGCATGCGGCATGTGACACATTGCACCTTCTGAAGTGAATTTTCTGTCTATTGAAACAACAAGAAAAACATAATCCTCATGGATTTGTTTATTGATGTAGGATGTAAGGGATTATATTTTACTTTATCTGTTTATTGTAATTCATCATGTGTTTGTGCTGCAGCACTCAGCAGACCATTTTAACAACAGCAAACCACTTTAGAACGCCGCAGAGAAAAGTGTCAGCGGTGTGAACTGGTCGGTCTGAGCTGGACTCAAGCCGGCTGATGGTGTCACCTGACACTCAGCTGGTCAAATGGCCGGCGGCTGGTTTTAAAGCATGTCACCTGTTTCAACAGCCAATCAGCTTGTAGTGAAGTCAGCTGGTCAAGTCAAAATGACCACAGACGGCGTGTTGGCTTGCTGCAGCAGGTGCTCCATCCCTGCCGAACACCCTCTGTTTCCGTCCTCACAGTGTGCCGGTGTCAGACGGTGGGTCGCTGCTGCTGAATTGGCGCTGGTTATTTATGTTATTGTGGCGTATTGATTATGAATACAGTCCATCTGATGCTGGTTTTGTTTCATCACTGTATCCAGTATGTCACTATCACTATCCTCATTCAGATTTTAAGAAGCTACAAATTATATTCAGCCACAAAATAAGTCTGAAAAGCTGCAAATCAGAACTTGTGTTGTGGCAAATCTTTGGTCTGAACTGGGCTCTAAGAACGCCTTGAGGGAATTTTCTCAAATTTGACACAAACGTCCACTCGGACTGCACGAGGAACTGATTGGAACTTTGTGGTCAAAGGTCACTGTGACCTCAAAAACATGTTTTTGGCCATAACTCAAGAATTTATATGCTAATCATGACTAAATTTCACACAAACGTCTTAACAGGATAAAATGAAGAAGTGATGACATTTTATATCCAGAAGGTCAAAGGTCAACTTCACTGTGACATTACTCAGCGTCATATCTCAGGAACTGAAGGGGAGACATTTGGTCAGATACTGAATTGGTGACTCTAATCTCTAAACACTGCTGATTGTATAGATCTTCTGTGTGTGAAGCATCCAGGTTTTTAGAATATAAATAATAATAATATATAAATAATCCTCTAAAAATAATGTTCACCCCAGCAACAGAATTCATGTGTTAATAAATATAAGTTAATGTAGACTGGTTGACATACCTTTAACTGAAGTAAGGTTTTGAGTGCAGGACTTTAAGTTGTAGCAGAATATTTTCACCGTGTGGTTTTAGTACTTTAACTGAAGTAGAGTATTTGAATACTTCTTCCACCACTGACTCCTAACATCATAGTCTTCCTGTTCCTCCCAGTCTCCACTTGTCCATGTTTCGTGTGTCAGTCATGAACGTGATCAGCACTAGGACCCAGAGCAGAGCAGCTGTCAGAGTCCGTGCAGTAAATATAGCAGCGGCATGTCGATCAGAGCAGTCGGGGGTCATGAGGAGACCTGAACAGACCAGATCAACCTGAAGCGTCCTCCGTCTGCAGGAGGGAACAGGAAACACTTTTCCTCTGAAAACCACAGAGAGTTTATCTGAAGAGAGCCGGGGCCTGAACGTCAGCTGACGGCTGCATGTGAGTCAGTCTGTCCTTGTGTGAGGCGTTCACTGACTGCTGCCTGAGTAGGTCATGTTTCCGGTTTGTTTGTTTGTGTGTTTGTCAGCAGGATTACGGGAGGATTAAACTTCGTGGACGGGTGAAGCATGGGGCAACAAAGAATGCATTACATTTAGGAGCGGATCTGAATCATGGGACAGATACACAAATTATTTTTCACTTGTTAACATTGGGAGACAAGGTTTGAACTTGGCCGAGTGCCCCGATGGTTTTATTTGTTTGTTTGTTAAAAAAAAAGAAGCCGAAACAAGTGAACTAACAACTCAGAAAGAACTTCAACTGTTAATTAGTATTTGCGTCAATTAATATGTTTTAATGAAGCTGATAATTGGAGCCTAATGACCAAGATATGTAGTCAGAGACATTTTACACTGTCTGATGTTGTGTTGACACTGGTTGCGAATAAAACAATTTATGCAAGTATGCAATTTCATAAAGTTAGTGTAAGGACACGATAGACGCAGTGGACGTGAACAGGCAAATTAAGCACCATGAATGAAGCGAGTAGCCCAAGCATTGAGATCCTTCGAGGATATGTTCATTCATTGAATCAGCAATTTCACTCGCATATGTCACGAGTTATTCGCGCCTATGAAGTGAGTCAACAGAAAATACTCTAGCGTTCACACTGGTGCGAGTAACACGAAGCAAAAATTCGCATTGTGTTGATGTGAGCAACATTGCAGTGTCATTTTTCTTTACTTAGTAGCAGACGTATGCACTGATGCATCTAAGATGAGCCACAATCAGCCCGGCTAAGTGTAGCTTTATCATAGACTGTAAATAAAGATGGATGACTCGTGTCCACTTCCTCCCACTGTACAAAAATGAAGCCAAAATATTCCACACATAGTCGCTGCCATCTCGTGCTGGTGGCGTCATTTGGAGCCAGAGTCTGCACAGTAGTGCTCACCGCTGTATCAACTTCCCGCCCCTACACCCAAATTCTGAGGCTTATTATGACAAGACTTCACACAAATGTCTAATTGGACAAAATGATGATGTGATGACATTTTATATCCAAAAGGTCAGAGGTCAGACTTCACTGTGACATCACAATGTTCTGTATAAAACACTTTGTGTTTTTCTTTTTGTGTGTTCGTAAGTGTGAACGTAGCTTTAATGAAGTCCAAAAAGAAAATTTAAAAAAATAATAGTCATATCTTCTTTTAATAGTTTCAGTGGTTCAAAGGTTTTATGTATTTGTCCATAAAGGATTTAAATTACAGAACTCTAAACTGATGACCAAAACACAGGAAATAATACTCACAACATAAAAAAAAAACGTTGTGGACCCACCGAAACAACATCATAAAAGCAGACTAAGATTTAAATAACGTGTTGGCCAAAATACATTAGTCACGCTCATAGTGCGACATGTCTGCTGCGTGTCCATTACAGTTAACAGAAGCTGCATCACTGACCACTGCTGCAGCTTTTCCCTGCAATGTTCTGAGATGGGTTTGTCTTGCTGTGAATCTTTGGTCTGAACCAGACTTCAGACTGCACCTAAGAAAAGTTAACAAAGACCTCAACATGGTTCCTGATTTCCAAATTAATTTAATTCTGTAAATAATATTTTTGTGAACTGATTGTTTCAACACTAAAGTTAACTTAGCTTTGACGCTCACACGCTTCTCTTTCTGACCAGGTGGCAGTTTCCTGTGAACATCAATGCCTGAGTAAGGAAGCCTGTGAGGGTCAGCTCTGCAGGATGCTGCAGCTGTGTAAAGTCACCAGCGCTCTGTTTATCAGTAACGCGCGCTCAGCCTGCAGTGACGAGCTCCTCCAGAAGGAGGCGGTGACGCTCTGCATCAACGTGTCCAAGCAGCAGCCGTTTCCCTCTGCCGCCGCCATCACCAAGCTTCAGATCCCCGTGTACGACGACCCCAACGAGGACTTGTACGCTCACTTCGACCGCTGTGCCGACGCCATCCAGAAAGAGGCGAACTGTGGAGGACGCAGCGTCGTCTACTGCAAGAATGGACGCAGCCGCTCGGCCACTGTCTGCATCGCCTACCTGATGAAACACCGCAGATTGACGCTGACCGACGCACTGCAGGTGGGTGACATGCACGTAGCTTCAGGTCTGACAGTAACTGGTAATACTTGATGAGGTGTTTGAGGTGGTGTTGCACATTTCCAACCCTTGTTAGCTTGTTTAATATATTACATGAGTGCTGCTGCCCGTTCAAACTTCAAAACTTTATATATGGAAAAAAACAAACCTGAATGATAGAATATTCATTTAAAAACGGCCACATTAGATTCAACTGACGTCATTCTGAGTTGGGCACAGCCGTAATGTCCCAGTGTTCTCTGAGCTGCTGATCAGAGGTCAGAAATATCACTGACTGTTCAAACTGCAGCAAAACGCTGTCGTCTGCAGGAACTGAAGTATTAAAGTCAGGGTGTCTATTACCAAGGTGCCCTCGAGCAGCACGCTGCTCACTGAATGCATTCATGCTCACAGTCACCAAATACAACAAATCCAACAAAAGTTGTGCTTGTGGTCAGTCATTGTACAACCCCTGGCAAAAATTATGGAATCACCAGTCTTGGAGGATGTTCATTCAGTTGTTTAATTTTGTAGGAAAAAAGCAGATCACAGACATGACACAAAACTAAAGTCATTTCAAATGGCAACTTTCTGGCTTTAAGAAACACTAAAAGAAATCAAGAAAAAAAATTGTGGCACTCAGTAACAGTTACTTTCTTAGACCAAGCAGAGGGAAAAAATTATGGAATCACTCAATTCTGAGGAAAAAATTATGGAATCATGAAAAACAAACAAAAAAAAGAACACTTCAACACACCACTAGTACTTTGTTGCCTCCACCTCTGGCTTTATAACAGCTTGCAGTCTCTGAGGCATGGACTTAATGAGTGACAAACAGTACTCTTCATCAATCTGGCTCCAACTTTCTCTGACTGCTGTTGCCAGATCAGCTTTGCAGGTTGGAGCCTTGTCATGGACCATTTTCTTCATCTTCCACCACAGATTTTCAATTGGATTGAGATCCGGACTATTTGCAGGCCATGACATTGACCTTATGTGTCTTTCTTCACGGAATGTTTTCACAGTTTTTGCTCTATGGCAAGATGCATTATCATCTTGAAAAATGATTTCATCATCCCCAAACATCCTTTCAATTGATGGGATAAGAAAAGTGTCCAAAATGTCAACGTAAACTTGTGCATTTATTGAAGATGTAATGACAGCCATCTCCCCAGTGCCTTTACCTGACATGCAGCCCCATATCATCAGTGACTGTGGAAATTTGCATGTTTTCTTCAGGCAGTCGTCTTCATAAATCTCATTGGAACGGCACCAAACAAAAGTTCCAGCATCATCACCTTGCCCAATGCAGATTTGCGATTCATCAATGAATATGACTTTCATCCAGTCATCTGCAGTCCACGATTGCTTTTCCTTATCCCATTGTAACCTTGTTTTTTTCTGTTTAGGTGTTAATGGTGGCTTTCGTTTAGCTTTTCTGTATGTAAATCCCATTTCCTTTAGGCGATTTCTTATAGTTCGGTCACAGACGTTGACTCCAGTTTCCTCCCATTTATTCCTCATTTGTTTTGCTGTGCATTTTCTGTTTTCAAGACATATTGCTTTAAGTTTTCTGTCTTGACGCTTTGATGTCTTCCTTGGTCTACCAGTATGCTTGCCTTTAACAACCTTCCCATGTTGTTTGTACTTGGTCCAGATTTCAGACACAGCTGACTGTGAACAACCAACATCTTTTGCAACATTGCGTGATGATTTACCCTCTTTAAGGAGTTTGATAATCCTCTCCTTTGTTTCAATTGACATCTCTCGTGTTGGAGCCATGATTCATGTCAATCCACTTGTTGCAACAGCTCTCCAAGGTGTGATCACTCCTTTTTAACTGCAGAATAACGAGCAGATCTAATCTGATGCAGGTGTTAGTTTTGGGAAAGAAAATTTACAGGGTGATTCCATAATTTTTTCCTCAGAATTGAGTGATTCCATAATTTTTTCCCTCTGCTTGGTCTAAGAAAGTAACTGTTACTGACTACCACAATTTTTTTTCTTGATTTCTTTTAGTGTTTCTTAAAGCCAGAAAGTTGCCATTTGAAATAACTTTAGTTTTGTGTCATGTCTGTGATCTGTTTTTTTTCTACAAAATTAAACAACTGAATGAACATCCTCCAAGACTGGTGATTCCATAATTTTTGCCAGGGGTTGTAATATTCATATTGTCAGTTTGTGGTCTTGAGTTTTATTATGTCAGAGTGATTTCTGTGATTAATAATCTGTCTGTGCTCCTGCTGTGCACGTTTCAGTTAGCGTCTGATAATGCAGCACAGTGTCGTCTCATGTACTCCGTATCAATATTAACAGTGATAGTCCACATTTAATCACTTTGTATGTCTTATGGTGTGAGCCTCTGTTCTATATAGGACCTGACAATACAGTGTAATTTTCAATCAATATCTTTTTCTTCTTTTTCTGTTATTGCTTTACATACTATAAAGTTATTGAGTTCATCTTTTATTGCTCTGGTTTTAAAGTGCGACATCTGTCAAGTGTTTATTAATGTGCCGTCCCTGTAAAATAAATCAATACACACCGATCAGCCCAAAAATTAGAGCCAGTGGCAGGTGAAGTGACTAACATTGATCATCTTGTTACAATGTTCTGCTGGGGAACCTTGGGGTCAGGAAGTTCTGGAGGATGCCACTTGATGTGCTCCACCCACCTGAACACCTCTGCAGGTGGAGTTTCTCTCCTCATGGCAGCAGCACTCTCTGATGGCAGTGCCCCCCCAGCAGGTCAATGCACCACGCTACACTGCAGAAGCTGCTCAGGAATGGCCAGAGGAACGTGACAAAGAGCTCAAGGCATCGAGCTGGCCTCCAGATTCCCCAGATCTAAATCTGACTGAGCATCCATGGGACGTGCTGGTACCTCAGAGGAACCCCTAATCCAGGATCTGACTTGTCTCTGACATGTCAAGGCATGGACACATGACCTCTGGAGGGTGTCCTGTGGTGTCTGGCACCAGGGCGTTGGCTTCGGATCATCTGAGACCTGTCAGCTGTGAGGTGGGGTACCAGCTTATCCCAAGATGCTCCATCAGATTGGGGTGTGGGAGATTTGGAGGCCAGGTCGACACCCTGAGCTTTTGGTCACATTCCTCAGTTGAGCAGTTTGTGGTGTGGCTTTTCTGCTGGGGGGCCGCTGCCATCAGGGAGTGCTGCTGCCATGAGGGGGGGTTACTTAGCCCACAGCGGTGTTTGGGAGGGTGGAGGGCGTCAAGTAGCATCCACATGAATGCTATGACCAAATGTGTCCCAGCAGAACATTGTAGTGTAACACGGTGATCAATGTTACTCACTTCACCTGCCACTGGTTCAATGTTCTGGCTGATCGGTGCATGCACATTTAAAAAACATGACTCCTAAATGTACATACGTAAAATTTTGTTACTCTTAAATTCATCAGTGTTTTAAAAACCATAAATCCTTTTGTCTTGAAAATAAAGTATTGATATAGTATTATCTATTACAGTGGGCACAGTACTGTCAGGACTATCAGAATCGGCCGACATGCTTTATTCTTATTTTGCACAATGAATGAATGAATATTATATAAGTTGAGAAGCATTTAATTTCATGTCTCCATCTGCTGGTGGGCCGTCACTATAAGACTATGCATGAATAATATGATGTTAATTCATCTACAGAAGAGACTTGATGATCACTGAAATTAGCTGGAGGAAAAAGTGGATACATCGATATCAGTATTTAGTTGTTATATATCGGCATATTAGATACCGGCAAAAAAATCCAGTGTCCTGCGTCCCTGTATTACAGAGTGGAATCACAATGATTGACACACATTAATACCTCAACACTTTTTTTCCAGAAAGTGAAGACGGCTCGTCACGAGATTGATCCAAACCCCGGCTTCCTGTCTCAGCTGCAGAGATACGAGCAGGAGCTGAAGAAGAGACGAGGACAGACGGACTGACAGACAGACAGATGGACGTCCGTCTGCTCCACCAGACGCCTTCACACTGACCTGAAATCAGCCTGCAGGTGAACGACTCCCTCTCTGTCCACCTTCTCACCGTCTCCTACTGTAACTCAGTGCGAACTCTGTTTTCTGATCCTTAATGATCTTTTGTGACTGTTAGCAGAAACAAGATTACTGAAGTCAGAGCTGAAACGTTTTCATCGACCTGAGATTTAATTTCACTTAAAGACAGACGTGAAGGTCTGAAGGGTTAATGTCACTTGTTTCAACTGACTGTAGAGTTTCAGTGTTGCAGCAGTTTCTTCATGTAAATCACAAAAAAAACAAAGAGGAAGAGACGAAAACAATTTAAAGGCTGAATCATGAATAATTAGTAAAATACACAAAATAAAATGAAGCAATATTAAAAGAATAAAGTAGAGAATAGAGACTATAATGTTAGGACTGAATAAACACATGGGTGCAAACAACAATACACAATAACTTTATTCGTACATAACTAAGTGCTTTAATTAAAAAGGGAGGGGGGCAATAAAAAAGCTGATTAATAAGATCATGTAAATAATATAACACAGTCTGGGAGATATAAAGCCAGGTTATTTATTTATTTTAGAAGAAAACTAGAAAAGCACTCAGAGTGCAGACCTCCGCCAAGTAGGTGATATTCCCTCCCCCTCTGCATCAGATTTTGCAGCCTGCATCACAATCAGGTTATTTGCATCACTATCATTATTAGGTTATATATGCCTTCACCATGGAGACACTGTGGTGTATTTATGTCGTTTTTATTTTGTACCAACAAAGAATATAATGTTCTTTTGTATTTTTCACTTTATTTTTTTCCAACACAGAACATTAATTTCAACGCCTCATTAGAAATTGGAATTGCTGTTGAGGCTGTTAGACCATAGACTTTATTTATTATTTTATCCATTTTGGATTTCATCAAAATCTGTTCATAACTTTTTGAGTTATTTTGCAGACAAACAGACAAACAGGCCGACGCCGGCGAAAACATAACCTCCTTGGCAGAGGTAATAACTGACCTTTAGGTGCTCTGACAGCTTTAGTCAAACATGTAGATGTAAAAACTGTGACAGCAGCTTTTTCTGTTTTATAGTCGGGCTCAGTGGGTCAGAAATAAAACTATTCAACTCATTATTCTCCGCTGATATAATATTTAAAGCAAGCAGAGGCTCCAACAGTAAGTAAAGAATGAAAACTAGAATTCAGATCCATTGATTGAGTCTGAATCACTCTGATCAGTTTGATTAGTCTGAAATAACTCCAGTTTAAAGAAGTTTAATCAGCTTTTGATGGCAGAAACATTCAGAAGCGAATCACTTATTAAAGAAGAAACAATGGAGGCCTTATGATTTCAGAATGATTTTTTCAGAATGAGTTCACACTGGACGCAGAAGTGCCGCAATACATGCTGATTTTCTGTGGAGTGCTGCCTGATTCCTTTCGGCGCCAGTGTTGGGCGATACAACACGTGTGTCCTCCTCTCTCCACAGAGCTGGGTTCAAATAATCGATATTTATTTGAATGACCTGATAATAATTCATAAAGTCCAACATCGATCTCTCAATATCAGCTTTTTCCCCAAAAATGTGTGAAGCTTTAACCCCGTTAATCTCGCCGACAGTAAACGAGCCGCAGTGCTAAATTATTAACGCTGGTGGTGTTGACAAGCTTGAACCTTACCGGCTCTTTCAACTTTAACTATTGCCGTTGTGTCTTTATGTTTGGTGGCATTTATATTCATGCTGCAGCCTCTCCTCCTGCCGTCCTGTGCGTCAGGGAGTAAAGATGCCGCGATGGAGACAGAGAGGTGAAGGTAACTTGAGCTGACGACAGCTACGTTGACCTCTCGCCGTCCCTACCTCGGCCTCTGTATAAGAAATAAGCACCAGATTCATTTGAAAGGCCGACAGATGGAAAACAATGTTTTAACTCCGCCCACAGAGATTTTTAATTGTTTCAAACCTTCCTGATCCTTTTACAGTCACAGTTTATTTGATATCATATTTTACATTTCCATGTTGTGCAGCTGTTTATTTTCAAACAGAAAAAAAATCTGTCTTTGCATTTTAATTTGATCAGTCTGTTTTATATAAAAGTGTTTGTGACATTTCAAACGTGGCTTTGATTGGCGACTGAACCGAAAATACCAAGATATAAATTTTCGTCCATGTCGCCCAGCCCCACACACACTGTTAATGTGCTCCTGTTAATATAAAAGCAGTGTTTCAGTCAGACAGACCTCAGCAGTCATTATTAAAATAACTTTTGGTGGCTTTGATGAGAACATAGTCTGCTCTGTCTGATTCAGAACTGAAGCCGTGGCCTGACAACAAAATAAAGCTGCATAAATATTCTAAATATAGCGAACACTTCAGCTGATACTCATTGTTTTAGGTGGCTAAAACACATTAGCAGCAGAACATCGCTCAGCTAAAGTGGCGGTACTCCTGCTGCTTCTCCAAACTGGGGGCGTGCTGACCGCCATCCACTGTGTGTAACACGCTGACTGTGCCTCATGACCTCATACAACCCCTCTGCAAACAGTTCCTTTAATGAACGTTGGTATTTTTCTGATCCAGAACAGAACCAGCCGTCAGAGCACATCCAAGATTACTGAGTTTGTTTGTGTATTATGACGAGATAAAACATAAAAACAGGTCAAAGAAACAGAGTTGTTACTCTTTTTAAAAACAAATTTTCTTTCAAAAAGCTGCAGAATTTACTTGAATTTTTATTTTTCAGGACTATGAACCTTAAATCTGTGTCAGTCATGTGTAGCTGTGTCGGCTCTCCTGTAACACACTGTGGTTGCAGTTCCACCTTCTACCTCTAGATGGAAACATTTCCATACAAGATAACGCAGCATGTAAAACACAGGACGAGTCAGGGTGACGAGTCTGGAAAAGATCTGTACAATTAAAATGATCTGAAGCTGAAACGTGCCCACAGAGAAACTCAGGGTGAAACTGACTCCTTCAGATTTATAAATCTGTAAAGTAATATTTAAAGTTCTGAGATTTAACTCCAATAAAAACAGTTTAATAACAAACTGAAGACGTATTAAGATAATTCACTTCAGAGTATCAAAACCACACTGTTTGCATCAGCACAATGAAGTTAAAGTCAGTATGTTGCATAAAAAGTGTTTTCCTATTTTATCTGATGTGTTTGGATGAATATTTCTGCAGCATTAATGTATCTGAGTCATTTTACTGCTGTAGATGTTTCAGGTTGAGCTCATGTGAACTCCTTTATAAACTGTTGAGTAGTTTATCCACAGCAGTGCATCATAATCTCTAATTCAATATCAACAGGTGTGTAAATGTGAATGCAGAAAACAGCATAAATAACTTCATTACTCATCGTGTTCCCGTCACGCCTGAGCACATCTTATCATCCAGAATATCTCAGCACACCTGTGTGGGTCGACTCGTCGTTTGGCTCTGGCAGCACAAAGTTTAATACAACAAATTGTGAATCCTTTAAATCTTCAGTTTGACACTTTCAGTTTTTTACAGCTTGTACAGAGTCTAGTTTTTAACTCAACATGTTAAATATGATTAACAAGTCATCAGATGTCTTAAGATGGAGTTAGTAAATAAAACAAAGACTTAGCTCAGTGTATAATCACTGCAGGATGAAATGTGTTCTGATCTCAGGATCCTGATTGTACAAACTGAATCAGAGATGTAAATTTAAAGCTGCAGATTGTTTGTTCAGTGTTTTCTTATGATACTGTTAATAGTGATTCAATTAAAGCTGCAGGGTGGAGGATTTAGGGGGACACATCGGCAGAAATATGATGAGTATAATCACCTGAAAATAGGAGGTGTGTTTTCCCCACCTCAGAATGAGAGGTTTATATCTACATAGGGAGCAGAGGGGTATTCCAGGTAGGAGGTTCAACAAACTCTGAGTTGATTTACCCTGAGATGGGAAACTCTGAGTTACCGGTTCCAGAACAGCTGATTTGAGTTAGTTCAGTCAACTCTGAGTATGTTCACTCTGAGTTAAGCCGACAATAAAAAGCCATCATCAATGGAGCTCCGACTCCACGATTCACCATGGCAACAGGTAAATAAAAGACAGCGCCTCCATTTTAATCCAGTGGATGTAGAGATATTAATGCACGTGTAGCAGACGGTGCACGTTTATCTTTAAAAGAAGAGCCTGAGTCAGAGCGAGGAAAGTGTAAATAAGTTAACCATAAAGTTAATAAAAAAGTGTATTCATCATTTATCAGACTTACATTTCCTTAATGAAGATCAAGTGGTGGAATCTGACTGTGTATCAGGCTGTAGATACATTACATTATATTAATAATATATAATAATATATTTGTTCAGATTTAATCTGATGGGGAAAAACACAGGAGGCAGAAGATTTAAAACATATAGGCTAGGCTATAGATCAAAGACATAAAGACATGACTGTAAACTCACAGTCTGACCCAGTAATAATATGTTTGGTGGTTTGCACTTAAAGACGTTGAGGTTAAAATACAGTAGATTTGAAAATGCTGGACATCTATTTGTATCTTGACTCAACAGCATTCAGTGACTTTATTTCTGCTACAAATGTAGTAAATGTAAAGACAGTGAAATGCTGCACCATTGCTCACTCAGAAATATGAACATATAATCCCCAATATTAGGCTATAGGAATTATGTTCCATCAGTGCGACCATTGACATCAGTGATAGAGATCATTAGTCATTGATACTACGTGTCTAAAGCTTCATACTGATTTTTAAAATTTAAATAATTAGACCTACACATTATGTGCAATAAACATTTGGGAGCTGCTCTAACAGACTGACAGTCTGATCCTTGTGCACAGTGTTATAAAAAATAATAAATATAAAAAGGACAGAGGTTTGATTCTGAGCTGAGGGTGAATTCTCGCTGTGTAATATTTGAATGTAAAGACAAAAACTGATGTCCAAAGAAATGATTGATGTGCATAAATTCAGTAACTTCAGACAGTCCTGAGTAACAAAGTAATATCCAGCAGGATTTAGACTGTGACAGACGGTAAATCTCCGCTAATGAATGCGCTTCCATACAAGCTTTGACACAGACTGAATGAATGAGGAAATGAAACAGCGTGTAAAGAGGGAGGAGACAGAGAAAAACTCAGGGTTTATTGAAGAAAACCTGCCAGCGAGCAGGTTATGTTCACAGAGTCTGTTACCATTGTGACTGACTCAGAGTTTCACTTACCTCTCTTTCTGGAACGGATAACTCAAGAGTTTCCCTCATCTCAGGGTTAACTTACTCTGAGTTTTCACATAACCCGCTTTCTGGAATACCCCCCAGGTCCTCGTCTACGGAGATCACCGTGTTGCACCGCCATGTTTCTACAGTAGCCCAGAACACACAAACCAAACACTGACTAGAGAGGGATGTTTGTGTTTTTGAGCCGGCCAACACAGTTAGCAGCTCCTCTGTGACGAGTGTTGGATAAACACTGATTTTTTTTTTTTAATGAAAAACTGCTTTACTCAGTGGTTTGATCAGTTTTATTCACCTGGTCTGTTTGTTTCTAACTGTACGTGCACACCAACTGTACGTGCACACCAAGAGCTGCAAAAGCTGCAAAGCGTCCGCGTATTGGCGACCAGAGCGTCAGATGAAAGTTGGGGAGTCGTAAACTTTATGCAGATTAGCTATGACGCATTTCGGCTGCAAATGACCAGCCACCAATCGAAAAGGAGATACAGAGAACATACTCGGAAACTTTTGTTCCTACCACACATTCGTTGCTACTTCAAAATGAGAGAGAAGCTAATCACTGCTGTAGCTGGACACCGAGTCTGTTATGATTCAAGCCTGTTTATATAGAGGGACTGAAATCAAAAGGAGCAGGCGTGGGAAGCCGAGTCCTGAGTAATTGGTTTGCCCTGTGAGGTGATATTGAAAGAATTTTTTAAACTAGGGGCAAATACATCCATGCTAATATAACGCCTAGCATGCTAATTGTGGTCTGCCGAACATTTTGTCTGTGCAAATGTGAAGAATGCAAATAAATTAGCCGGCAAAGGCGCTGTGCTCCAGCCAGGAACCTGCTTTGTGGCTCCTTTAAATTGACAAGCACGATCGAACGTTCCAATGTATGACGTCATGAGCGACTTGAGCTGCCAAAAGTATTTTGGACAGCGCCGCTGCTCCGGCGACCTCTTGGTGTGCAAGTACAGTAAGAGGAGGAGACCTCTGTGGATAAATCAGCTCTAACCAGGAGAAGTTTGAGCTGGTTTCAATCTGTAATCCTCTCCGCTAGACACCATCAAACCCCCTAAATCTGAAACACTGCTCCTTTAAAGTTAGGAACAGATTATATTTATCTGTTGATACAAGAACACTGTGTGTGTTTGTGTGTGAACCTCAGGTGTGTCTTTTGTGGTGCTCGATTAAAAGCAGTAATTTAAAGTTGACCTGATGTCACCATGAGCCATGTCAGACCTCAGTATATGTACATATTTACATAATGAAACACAGTGTGCAGCTCTGTTCTGTCAGTGTAACAATATGACCTGTAACACAGATTATCACATGACGCTGCGTCCCTTTAACACTCTGCTGCTGTTAGTGTATGCTAATTCTTCAATCTGAATAAATTCATGTGTTCATCAGTCATTGATCAGCTTTATTTGCTCTGTGGGATTGTGCACTACCCGTGTCTTTAAATCAACTTAAAGGGACAGTTCGGACTTTTTGAAGTGGAGGTGTATGAGGCACTTACCCACAGACAGTGTGTTACCTACAGTAGATGTCAGTCGACACGCCCCCAGTCTGGAGGAGCAGGCTGGAGTCTGACACAAAAGCTAAACAATGTACTGCTGTGGAGGGGGCAGCACCTAAAAAAAATCAGTATCAGTTAAAGTGTACGCCATACTGAAAGTGTTTTCACTGCTTTACCTTTCTGTCAGACAGCCTGTTCAGACAGGGAAGCCGTTAACAGCCTCAGTTCCACATCTATAACCTCGTCACAGCCAGACTCCATTGACTAAAACAGTAATTGTACCTCACTGACCACAGGAGCTGCTGGTCTACTGCTGCCTCCATCTGTTGGTTAGTTTGTGTTATTGTGTGACTTTGGTGAATCTGAATTAACCCTTTAATCACCAAAGTCACACAATAACACAAACTAACCAACAGATGGAGGCAGCAGTAGACCAGCAGCTCCTGTGTTCAGAGATGTTAAATCACCTGTTTTCTCAATGGAGTCTGGCTTTGAAGAGAGCGATGTAACAGATCCAGTCTCTAGTTGGAATTCACTCTGACAGACCCCTCCACAGCAGCACATGTCTTAGCTTCCATGCTGGACTCCAGCCTGCTTCTCCAAACTGGGGTGTGCCAACCACCATCTACTGTCGGTAACACACTGACTGTGGATACGTTCCTCTTTCGGGTGGGAATAAACGATTCTTACATGCATTGCAATGCGGACGTGGATGAATCGGCATCAGTTCACAATGTCAATAATCAATCGTGTAAGACAGCAGCTGCAGCTTGCTTTGTTTTAATGTCTAAATAATGACATCTTACATTAACATTAATGAGGGGAGCACCCTACGCAGGTGTGTGTTGCTCCCATTTTTTTTGTATATCCCACAGTGGACAAGCGTGAGCATCCGCAGATGGACACAATCCGACTGGCGCCCCCTGGCTCAAAAGAGAGGAAGGCTGAAGGGGAAAGGGACCTGGACAAGAGCCAGACTGTACGCAAGTAAAATAATCTGTTTATTTAATTATGGATCACCAAAAATTAATTTGCTATATTTTAAAAGAGAAAAAACATTTTGATGAATTGATAAATGTTTAATAATAGAATCGTTACCCTGTGACCCCCCATTTCAAAATATCCAAACTGTTCCTTTAATATTATGAATGGTTTATGATGAAGATGATGCAGAGATGCTGTGTTGATGTTTGTTAGAAAACACTGTTTCAATAAGTGAACCAGATAAAGAGAGAAGATTTATTAATCCCGGGGGTCGCACCAGTGCGGCTGATATTTATCTGGAAATATTTCGAGCATTATTTTGGGCGTCAGTGTGACGTTGAAAGTAAAGTTGGTGTTTTTGGTGAAAAAGGAAACCGAAGCGTGTTGAGACACAATCAGTTTATTTATAAACATCTTTACTGCACTGAGGTCTTAATGTGGCTTTACCAGACCAGACTCATCAACTGTTGTGGGCCGAGGTGGTTCAGACTCTCAGGGGTTCTCGTGGAATTAGACCTTTGTCCCAGTCCTCACGCACTTTGTCGATCCACTCGTTGTAGTTGGACACCTTGGTGTAGATGCCCAGCTTGTCCTCCCTGCCGCAGCCCTCGCCCCAGGACACCAGGCCGATCAGGAACCAGGTGTCTTGGTACAGAGTGACCATCGGTCCACCGCTGTCTCCCTCGCAGGCGTCCATCCTCTGTCCAAGGATCCCGGCGCAGAGCACGTTGTTGGAGATATTGTGGGACATCTGCTGGGAACAGATGCTCCGCTCGACCAGCGGGACTTTGATGACGTTGAGCGCCGAGCTGAACCTGGTGCTGTCCAGGTCTTCTTTGCCCCAGCCGGTCACCACGGTGATGGTGCCGTTTAGGTGGAGCACCCGCTCAGCCATCTCGCGTCCCGGCAGACAAGCGGGGACGATGTACTGGGAGGAGGGGGCGGGGGACTGCAGGCGCAGCAGGGCGATGTCATTGTCCACCGTCCTGCTGTTGTAGTGGGGGTGTCTGAAGGTCTCCACGACCCCCAGCGTCACCTCGGTGCCTTCGTCTCTGTGACGCTCATAATCACCTGAAGAGACAGATGCAGGTTGACGTCTGTTAGAGAAGGCGGTAAGTGTCTTATTTTACTTTCCCTGAAAGTCCAAAGATGTGTGAGACACATTTACATTGTAGAGTGAGTGAATAGATCTGCATGTGTTCAAAGTTTTTTTCTGACGAGATAAAAATTGATCTTGATAATAAAAACTAAGAAGAAACCTATGTTTCGTTTTCGTAGACGAGATGTGACAAAAATGTTAGTGGTGGACTGTGGTTGACTGGTGGGAGGGGCTTAGGACAGAGAGGGGAGAGCCCTAGCTTCATTAACTGGAGTTAACGTTTTGAATTGTGTTGTCGGCACAGTGAAGGCTCACCCAGTCGTACGCTGAATTTGAAGTTGTTTTCAAGGCAGTGAGCGGCGGTCAGGACCCAGTTCTTATCGATGAGGACACCTCCGCAGTGAAAACGCCCTCTGGCATTCAGTAAGAGCACCTGCACACACAAACACATTTACTTTATTCATTTTAAAAGCCCCTGAAAACAGTTTCAGATCATTTTCTCTGGAACATTATAAATGTTTGAAAAGGTTTCTATGTAGAGAATAACTGTAAACATCAGTCAGTTACCTGCCAGGGACTCTCTCCCTTCTTCCCCACCTCCCCTCCCACCATCCAGGGCATCAGGCCGTCCTGCGGTTCAGTGTACGACGATCTGCCTATCAGCAGCTGACCACAGGACGAGGGACCTGCCGAGGGAGGGGGAGACAGCGAGGAATCAGTCAACAGCACATTTTAAGTCAGAGCTGCCACACTTTTCTAATGATTAATTTCAGTTCAGCATCACTCTTGGACTCACTGGGTCTGATTTCTGATTTGAAACGCAGACAGTCACAGTGTGGCCACTACAACACAACTAGCAGAGCTAAAGCCACTCATAAAAAGTCTTCCCCAAGTCTTTGTAAACATCGAAACTAATCTACGGTCAGAACTCTCGCCTGTTATATTCAATCATATAAATAATGTGTTAGATTGATTTGGTACTGCTCAAAGTATCAGGTTACCGTAACGTGGTACAAAAATTTGTATATCAGTTACTCTCCGTGTGTCACCTTGGAATTGTACAGAAAAGTTTTCTCTCATGCCTCTACGGCCAGGGCTGAAAATTAACTTTTTGGCTCACCGGCCACGGAGACTGGTAGATGAAAAAAAATCCATATTTTTTACCAGCCAAAATAATGAATTGCCTTTTTCTGTCACATAAACATTTGTTTCAGTACTTTTTATTGAGATAATACAGTATTATGTTGAATACAAGCTTAAAGGAGAGGCCAGCGTGAAATTTGAAGCAAAATTAGTTAAATATTATCAAGTTTTGAGCTCAAAATTCCATTTGCACTTTGTACTTCAAACATGACGGTAAATTGTTTTTTTTTTGTAAACCTTCCAGATGCTTATTAATCATGTAACTTAAACCTCCTCAGACCTCCTTTCTTTTTTTCTTTAACGTTACAGCTTCGTCCTCATCTGTGTTTTTTCGTTTTGTTGCTGGTTTACCTACACCTGGTAATCTGCCACATGATGCCCGTGGTGATAGCTTGCTTGCTACTAACAGCAGATCATGGATCTAGGCGCGGGATATGCCTACGTCGGCACGCGTCGTCCGAGTAGGCGTACAGATTCCTTGATGATGCAGCGGGGAGCAATTAAAGGGAAATTTCGGTTTATTTCAACCTGTCTCCTATCGTCCTAAATTTGTTTCAAGTGACTAGTGACATAAAAATAATAGTTAGCATGTTAGCCGTTAGCCTAGATACAGCCGGGGCGCATAGTAGCATCAGACCTGTTAAAACATAAGTGAACGGGCAACCTTCAAGTGCAAAGTTAGTCCACTAAACAAGCTTTTTTTCCACAAAGACCGCCTCATATCGTTAGGATAAATGTCAGAGAACATATAGAAAACGACATGTAAACGTGTTGTCTTACCTTACAGGTGTGCTGCTATGTTTGTTTACCATCTAGCTCTGCTTTCCAAAGCACGGCCGAAATACATCTGGCGAGCTCTAGATAAAGCCCAGCTGGATACTACTCCAGGTGGAGGTGTGTCCTCGGTCACATCCAGACCTTGAAAATAAGGCTGCAACCGGTCCCATTCCTTGCAACAGAGGCATTCCTCTTCTGTGGGCACTGGGGCACAGCATTCACAGGTACACCACCAATCTCCAGAGCTACGCAGCCTTGCAGCAGCCATTCCTCCTCTCTCGTCCTCTACCTGTTGCGCCTCTCTCTCTCTCTCTCCTCCTCTGTTCTTCAATTTAACGAAGCTCTTCGTCAGTGTATTCTGGCTCAAATAAATAAGGGCGGCCATCAAACTCTGCAAAATCAAATTCCTCCTCCACAAAGTCAAAGTCTGGCAAAAAGTCAGCCATTATTCTTTAAATCTTTCATAAAATAAATGAATGAACTTTTCAGGCTACTGTCCGGTTCTGCCTTCCAGCTGTTGCTGCTTGTTCTCGTGAGATTTCGGCCGTGCTTTGGAAAGCAGAGCTAGATGGTAAACAAACATAGCAGCACACCGGTAAGGTAAGACAACACGTTTACATGTCATTTTCTATATGTTCTCTGACATTTATCCTAACGATATGAGGCGGTCTTTGTGGAAAAAAAGCTTGTTTAGTGGACTAACTTTGCACTTGAAGGTTGCCCGTTCACTTATGTTTTAACAGGTCTGACGCTACTATGCGCCCCGGCTGTATCTAGGCTAACGGCTAACATGCTAACTATTATTTTTATGTCACTAGTCAGTTGAAACAAATTTAGGACGATAGGAGACAGGTTGAAATAAACCCAAATTTCACTTTTAGGTGCAACACACAACAGAGCGCCGGTCTGCTATTAGCCACCATCAAATGGCTAATATATATATAATTTATTACATGATTATTTTGGTACAAACATTTACCCGCCAGTGTGGCGGATAACCTTCTGAGATTTAGTTGCCAAATGGAAAATCTACCCGCATTTGGCGCTTGGCGGGTGTTAATTTTCAGCCCTGTCTACGGCCAACAGAGAATCCAAATAAGGTGAACGTGGGCTGTGTCTTAATCACTTACTCACTATTTCTATCACCATTTTGTAGCACTGTGTATTATCAAAGTGTCCCACAACGCACTGTGAACAGTTGTGTACAACTGATGGTCACTCACTAAGCAATATATCCCATCATGCACTGCTCCAAAGGAACGGACGGACTGTACGGGACAGACACCGAGACAGGTGAGAGGAGACAGAGCAGCTCGATTACAACCTGCTGTTAATGTTTAACTTTGTTTTACCTTCTTGTTCTTTGCCGTGAAATAAACACTTTAATGTGAAGTTGTCGGTCCTGAAGAGATGAAAATAAATCGGCTGATCTTCTTCAGTGCTTCACAGTTACTGGACAGAGCAGGGCTAATAACGCTGGCTAATGTTAGCAAGCTGTGTGTAACAGTGTAATGTGTAACGTTACACATTAAATTCATCACATATAACATCACATGTAAAACAAACTTCAACATGACAAAGGTTAAACAGGAAATTACTACATCAGCAGGACAGGTTGCAGTCACACTGCTGTGTCCTTCTGTCTGCCCGCCTGTGTTAAGTTATTAATATGTTATGCTTTTATAAATGTTCTTACCTTTCGGGCCACATTTCTTGGAGTCGTCGTTTAGTACTTATCCACTCACACAGCTGCAGGTCCTTGACAGGCCGTCCTTGCTCTCCCAACAGTCATGGTCACAGCCGCCATTATCCACCGAGCAGTTTGTGGCTGTTTGAACTGAATGACAACAGATGATTACCTCAGTTTATATATTCAACATTTCTGTAGGACATTGTTTTATTTCACTGTGATGATGAACGCGATCCGTGTCAGGACTGTTGGTCTCAAAACTATAAACTGATTATTCAAGAAACCAATCAGCAGATTAATCTTTAATGCAAATAATTATTAGCTGCAGGTCTATGAGGCATTAATTTGCTGTTGTGACTTAAATCAGGATTTTAATCAGTCCTCACAACACTAATTTTATAAAGTGGCTTTTAATTTGTTTTTATTCTTTCTTAGTTGCACTGTGTATTTTTACTTTTCATTTCTGTGAACTTGTTTCTGAAAAATAATGAAAAAAGAATATTTATTACTATGATATCATCTCTTATACATAGAAACACTGATTATAAGTTTGGTATAAAAACACTGGACCATGATGACATTGTGTAGTTCTGAAAAATGTTAAAGTTTAAATTGTTGTAATTACTATATAGCTGAACTTCTCAGAATCTTCTTTTCATTAAATACAGTTCATCTTCATTTTAAGAAGTTGCTTCTTTAACTCCATTATTTTTTGTTTCTTTGAGGTTTTTATATCATCCTGTAGCTTCCTGTTAGTGTTTCTTTGTGTTGTCAAAGCTGAAAATTAAAATTTTGCTCTTATTGCGAATGTTCATTCATTAAAATGTTATTTCCCTTGTGACGATGACGTTGCTACGTATAAACCTACCAACTTCTGCGGTTCCTCAAGTCACACATTAAAAAACAAACTACAGCTTCAGGAAGTGCTGTCTGACATCAAGACACACAGGTAAAATAATCTTCATATAGTGTACACTTAAACTGATACAGGTTTTTTAGCCTGTCCACAACCACCAAACTCCTTTGACAAAAAACAGTTATTTTACATCGCACTGGTACTGGCAGCATGCTGACTGCCATCTCATGTAGGTAATACGCAGACTGTGGATGTACGGATGTGTTTATCAGTACAAACGCAGTATTATATTATATTGAATCCTAATGTGTCTTCACCTGGTTGATTAAAGGTTTAATAAATCTCCAGCAGGAACATGAGGTGCGTAGAGCAGCAAGACTTTATACCACTGGAAACAAACAGCACCCACAACCTGGCGTCACTCTCACTTTTAAGCGCACTTTCTGCACGTCTACAGTACAGGCCAAAAGTTTGGACACACCTTCTCATTCAATGCGTTTTCTTTATTTTCATGACTATTTACATTGTAGATTCTCACTGAAGGCATCAAAACTATGAATGAACACATGTGGAGTTATGTACTTAACAAAAAAAGGTGAAATAACTGAAAACATGTTTTATATTCTAGTTTCTTCAAAATAGCCACCCTTTGCTCTGATTACTGCTTTGCACACTCTTGGCATTCTCTCCATGAGCTTCAAGAGGTAGTCACCTGAAATGGTTTTCCAACAGTCTTGAAGGAGTTCCCAGAGGTGTTTAGCACTTGTTGGCCCCTTTGCCTTCACTCTGTGGTCCAGCTCACCCCAAACCATCTTGATTGGGTTCAGGTCCGGTGACTGTGGAGGCCAGGTCATCTGCCGCAGCACTCCATCACTCTCCTTCTTGGTCAAATAGCCCTTACAAAGCCTGGAGGTGTGTTTGGGGTCATTGTCCTGTTGAAAAATAAATGATCGTCCAACTAAACGCAAACCGGATGGGATGGCATGTCGCTGCAGGATGCTGTGGTAGCCATGCTGGTTCAGTGTGCCTTCAATTTTGAATAAATCCCCAACAGTGTCACCAGCAAAACACCCCCACACCATCACACCTCCTCCTCCATGCTTCACAGTGGGAACCAGGCATGTGGAATCCATCCGTTCACCTTTTCTGAGGCTGGTGACTCGGGTGAACTTATCCTCAGAAGCAGAGGTGACTCTTGGTCTTCCTTTCCTGGGTCGGTCCTCATGTGTGCCAGTTTTGTTGTAGCGCTTGATGGTTTTTGCGACTCCACTTGGGGACACATTTAAAGTTTTTGCAATTTTCCGGACTGACTGACCTTCATTTCTTAAAGTAATGATGGCCACTGGTTTTTCTTTAGTTAGCTGATTGGTTCTTGCCATAATATGAATTTTAATAGTTGTCCAATAGGGCTGTCGGCTGTGTATTAACCTGACTTCTGCATAACACAACTGATGGTCCCAACCCCATTGATAAAGCAAGAAATTCCACTAATTAACCCTGATAAGGCACACCTGTGAAGTGGAAACCATTTCAGGTGACTACCTCTTGAAGCTCATGGAGAGAATGCCAAGAGTGTGCAAAGCAGTAATCAGAGCAAAGGGTGGCTATTTTGAAGAAACTAGAATATAAAACATGTTTTCAGTTATTTCACCTTTTTTTGTTAAGTACATAACTCCACATGTGTTCATTCATAGTTTTGATGCCTTCAGTGAGAATCTACAATGTAAATAGTCATGAAAATAAAGAAAACGCATTGAATGAGAAGGTGTGTCCAAACTTTTGGCCTGTACTGTACATTGAAAACAACTGATCTGAGTGCGTGTGAACGGCCCGGAGAGGGAACTAAATCATCACATACTGTATGTTGTGTATCACTCACGCTGGTTGCAGTATTTGCCTTCGTATCCAGGTTGACAGCGGCAAGCATAGGCTTGGTACAGATCCACACAGGTTCCATGGACACACATGTTGGCGGCACACTGGTTCCCATCTGAAACACAGTCAGGTCCATGAGTTAATTTCCCACAATGCCCTGAAGGTGGCAGCTCAGAGACCAAACTGTCCACACAGGAGAAAGCTGCACACTGCAGTTGGAACCAGTTTGACCAGTCACATAGTGGGGACAGAAAACAAGTCATGATTCAGTCACAGCAGCAGAAACATTCATATTCGGTGTTGTGTTTTTCTGCTTCGTTCACGTGACATTAACAACAAACTGTTTCCAGAACAGCTGGAAGTGCAGGTGAGTTTGTCTCCATCTGGTTTCACTTTGTAACAAACTGCTTCAACTCAACAAAAGCAGCCAATCAGGCCGTTTATCTGGTGAGGCTACGAGGTTCACACTCACCTTCAACACCTTGGAATAAATCTTAAACACTCTCAAATCAGATTCATGTTTTTCCTGCCGATGTTTAGTAAATGCATCAAAGTCCATCTACTGAAAAAGATGAAAGTTCCAGATTTCAAAGTTACATCATGTCAATTACTTTCTCTCCTGTTAATCTGCTCGACAATGAAATCACTGATTAAAGACATGAACACATCTGCTTCAGTTTTGTAGTTAGAGTCATTACTAATACGTCCTGGTGTGGTGGTTATTTAACTTCCATAATCTTCACACATTAATATTTTGGTGGTACAGTATCTGTGCTGGGTTTACTCTGCTGAAATAAAACAAGAAGAATCAGGTCCAACATCATAATCAGGGAAACCTGTTTTACCCTTAAAGGTTTTTAAATGTCTCATAAGTCAGTTAATGTTTTTAAAGGGATAGTGCACCCAAAAATAAAAATTCAGCCATTATCTACTCACCCATATGCCGAGGGAGGCTAAGGTGAAGTTTTAGAGTCCTCACATCACTTGCGGAGATCCAAGGGGAGAGGAGGTAGCAACACAACTCCACCTAATGGAGGCTGACGGTGCTCCAGATTCAAACGTCCAAAAACACATCATTGAAACCACAAAATATCTCCATACTGCTCTTCCAAGTCCTAGTCCTAGTGATCCAAGTGTGCTGAAGCCCCGACATAAAAAGTTGTTTGGAAAAACGTCATTTGAACTCTGTTTTTAGCCTCATTGTAGCCTGTAGCTCTGACTGCCTCCATTAGGTGGAGCTGTGTTGCTACCTCCTCTCCCCTTGGATCTCCACAAGTGTTGTGAGGACTCTAAAACTTCATCTGAGCCTCCCTCGGCATATGGGTGAGTAGATAATGGCTGAATTTTCATTTTTGGGTGCACTGTCCCTTTAATGATCTATTTCTAAACTGTACATAAAAGAAAGTGAACAAAAGCTGACTTTAGAATGATGCACACTGAACAGGTTCAGGGTTTCCTACCTGTGTACACCGTCCAGAACTCCAGCTGGAAACACACAGAACAAAAAGACGATCAGGAAACCTGAACAGCTCGTCAGACGTCACATCATCAGTAAATAGATCAACGAGGATTCATTCATGTTTTGGAGTGTGTCTCAAATCACATACTTCCTTTAGTACACGTCAATGTAGTGCACTATGTACTCATGCGTTGTCTCAAATCGCACACTTAGCGAAAGTGATGGCGGCTTTTTTTTTAACCACCTCTTCATTTTCTTTGTCTTCTTTTTAAGCAAACTGCAAACCAATGGTGGAGCATTATCGCCAACATCTGACGGCTATCTCCACCCACACATGAACTAAACTTCCACCACAGGGTCAGTGCTGATAAACTGTGCTGCTATAGCTTGGAGCAAGTAGCTAATGAATGCTAACATTAGCACTCATTGTTTGTGGTACCAAATCATTACAGGCCCAACAAACTTTACTGACAGTTTTGGTACTTAGTTCAAAAAACATGTAACTAACAGGCTCCTTGTCGTCTGACGGTTTGGTATGTCACAAAGATGGCGACCGTTGAGGGTGAGAAGTGTCCGTCATTCCACACTCAACTTGTGGACCGTGTTGAGTGCGTTAGTAGTACACTGCATTTTCACGTACTATGCTGTGTGAACATACTTGGCACACACACATCATATCAAGTGTTTAGTACAGACGTACGTGATTGGAGACACGCTGCTGGTCTTCATTAAGTTACCTGCTGATGTAACAGTTAACAACAAGACTAAAATTCACATCTTACTGTCGCTTCCCTGCTTTGGAAAATCTCTCGTGCTTCTTCAAAGTCACATTTTTCCTCCACACATTCGCGCTCCATCGAAGCGGGTTTCAGCTCCTCCAGGAAGGAGTTCGCCCGGCGAGAGCGGAGCAGCATGTGAGCCTCCGGAGCGTCCGAGAAGACTGAGTGGACACAGGAAGAGACAGAGAGACGTGTTTCACTTAAACAGTTTAAAGTTTTAATGTCGGTGAGTCTGCTGACGTCTAATGTCTTATTTTTCTGTGACAACACCTGAATATAAACTTTAACGTGAATGTTTTTACTTTCAAATCTGAGGTCAAGACTTTAAGGAGTCGATTTAAATCCTCGTGTTGCTTCTTTGTTGGCAGTTTGTCTGATCACATTAATAAACTATTAAACTCATGATCCACTGTCACGTCACATTAGTTCTATATTATATTTATAAACTCAAACTTTGCTTCATGAAAGTTTGATCAATATTAAATTAAGGAAATCCATCTATTTGGAGTCGGGAATAAACTTTGATCATCAGGTTGAAAGAAAATTACGACTCATTTACAGAGTTCATAAAACTTAGGGAAAGTTAGATTCAACACATTTTAATGACTTTAATGCCACAGAATGAAAATTAATTTTACAATAACCAAATTCAGAGCTTCCACACATCTTCATGGACAAAACTTTTCCATGACTTTTCAAGGACTCATAATAAACTGTAATGACCATTCACAACATGAACAGAACTGTCCCCTGTAATTTACTCCATATGTTTGAGGTATGAAAACTTAACAACCTTTTTCAATCTCTAATAGTCGATCTTGTTTGTTACATGTTACACGTGAAGGTTATCGACAGAAGAGTACTGTTACAGTTTCATTACACACAGCAAAGCTCTACGACTTTTCCAAAACTTTCAATGACCTTTACTAATTCCATGACCTTTCCAAGCCTGGAAAATGAAATGACGACTGTTCAAGGTTTTTCATGACTGTAGTCGGGTTTCCATCCACCTATTTTTATTTGCATTTTCAACAATTGTGGAAAAAAAAAAAACTTTTGAAATTCGAAAAAAGGCCGAAATATCGCAAAAAAGTTTATACGCTTGGAGGGGGTGGAACAGTCAGCGCATCGATATTAGGAAAATGTGACTTTTGGCAATGGAAACAGATTTAGCGAATAAACGATGACGTAGGCTACTGGATCCTACTTCTACACTTCACTTCTGCTCCACAAGTCCACAGTCAATCTTATGTACGCTGACAACGCTGATATGAGATGAGAGCTCTCGCAATAGCACAGAAGTTCCCAAGGAATCTCTCCATCTCGTCGTAGTCGTGGATGTGCCGGTAGTTGTTTACATCAGTTGTGGACATGAGACGCTCTCAGTGACGTCACGGTGCCCTCTTCTTCTACGGCGTTCTTTTGCATTTTTATTTTTCACGAGAAGCGCCACATACTGCTCGACCTGTTGACTCCAAATACTCGCAAAACAATAATGAATGGAAACATGCATAAATTCACATTGTCTTTTGCGCATTTTCACAAAATTTGCTTAAAATTTGCGATCCATTTGGATGGAAACCCAGTGTGCGGTTAACGCTGCAAATTTGTTGACTTTGCGGCTCCTCATGTCGTCCAGGGTAAAGTGACGAATGACTAACAGACAGTGCATCCTCTGCTCCGAGCATCTCGGCCACAAACAAAATATGAGCGTCCTTATCTGCGTGACGTTTATGCAAGGGGCATTTGGTAAATTATTTAAAAAGAAAAAGGTACTGTTATTTTAAGATCTGACAATGTAACTTTGGGAAAAAAGATTTATAAAATCCTACCTGCCATGTCTTAGCATTTTTTTAAACTTTTGAAAGACTAATTTAAGATATTTTAATACTAATTAAGGTATTTTTAATTCAATGCCTTTAAGACTTTTTAAGGATCTGTGGGAAACCCTGTACATTTTCAGTCAATAGACTTATTGATGGACTAATTATTTCACTTTAATAAACTGATGAAGAGTTTAATTCATAACTAACATTTATAAACTCGTGTGTAAGAATCTTAATTTGTAAAGGACCTAAAGCTGTCAGAAAACAGTAAAGTAGAAGCTCTGTGACGTTCCAACGAGAAACATTAATAAAAACTTGAGAGGTCTGAGGACATGTTCACCCACCTGACATACTGAGCACTGATGCCGACCACAGAGTGATGATGACAGACACGCAGAGGACGAGGCGGGACATGACCTCAGTTAAACCTACAGCCAATGAGACGAGACAGACACGAGCCAATCGCCTCTTCCTGTCAGTATTTATATTTACCTACTCTCTGAAGTGAAGCAGAAACCGTGACACAAACATTCACACACATGATCCACGTCTACATGATAGTTAGTGACACTCACCAGATTGACGCAGGTTGATAAGATGATCTGTGGAGACAAAATCACAACAGCGTTTTTAAATTATTGATCATTTTCAGATGAGAATACAGAGGCCTCCAAACACACACACACACACACACAGCTGGGTCCCTGTTTGAACCTCTGCGACCTTTGACCCCTGAACAACGGGGGGCCGCAGAGCCAAGACGACGTCCTCAAACCGCCATGACAACTATGATACAGAAACGACAAGCAGATTTCAGAGAGCGAGGAGCGTTTTTGTACTTACATGTGAAGAAAGGAGGTCGTGAACAGGGACGATGGTTCGCTCTGTTTCTGGTGTGTTAATGACTAACTGCCAGTGTTTACTGAGAGTCCACAGTCTGCAGCTCAGCACTGTCAACACACACAGACACACACAAACCTCCCCCTAACATCCACCCACTCACCTCTGAAACACATCAGAGCCCCGTTTCCCAAAAGTCCCAGGAAGTACTTTAAAACCTTTTAACACAAGCGTCCATCTGTTGAGTCCACTGCGACCACGACCTCCACTGCAGCGTCTTCGCCAAGATGTCCGCACAAAACCACTTTGAGAGTCGATAAGATTAAAGGCACTTGTTTTTTAATCACCCTGTCCACTGCAGCTCTTTATGTTGAGCCATTCCTAAAAGTTGTGTCACGTTCTCACCAGATGTGCTCACTGCCATATCTGGAACACTCAAATGCGTTTGTGTGTTGAGATAACGAATGATTTTGTTCGTCAGACTCAGACTACAGGCTGGGGATCTTTGGATTTACATTTCCATAACTGAAACAAACACACACTTCAGTGATGCAATACACACTCCTAATAATTTAGTGTGATTCCACTGACCACCATGTGGCGGCAACTTGAGCTTCAAACTATTCATTAACACACGATAACAAGTTCATGAAATAACTAGACAAAAATCAGGATTATAAATATTAGGTATAATCATCATTAAGTCATCATCAGTGCAGGTCTCCATATGTGTGTCACCGTTAAATCAGACCGAATATGGCAGCTTGAAAAGGTGTGTTCTCAGACGGGATTTGAACGTGAAAAGGGAGTCGATATTGTAAATGTCATGTTCGGGAGAGTTCCAGAGGTGCCGGCAGAACGGCTGAAGGATCCAGAACCCATGGTAGTCCAGCGGGCACAGGTACAGGAGGGTGTGTAGATATGAAGGAGTTCAGACAGGTAGGAAGGGGCTGGGTTATGAAGGGGCCTAAAGGTGAGACCCAGAATCTTGAAATTGATGTGATATTTAACAGGAAGTCAGTGAAGCTGCTGGAGAACAGGAGTGATATGATCTATGGAGGGAGTTATAGTTAAGATACGGGCAGCACTAGAGTTTATGAAGACAGTCGAGAGGAAAACCAGAGAGGACAGAGCTGCAATAATCAATACGAGATGTAACCGAAGAATGAACGAGGATAGCAGTGCTGTGAGGTGTGAGTGACGGGTGAAGACGATCAGTGTTGCATAGATGAAAGTATGCAGACTGAGTAACATTACTGAGCCTCAAAGGTCAATGTACTGTCCAGGATGACACCCAGACTCTAAACCTGAGGGGAGGGACAGCCTTTGGAGTCTGGAGTCAATGGTCAGAGAGAAACTGTGGTTTAACCAAAATAGATTTAGTACCTGGTTGTCAAGGTTGTCCCTTGTCACCAATCCTGTTTGTGACCTTCATGGACAGGATCTCGAGGTGCAGCCGGGGGGAGGAAAAGGTCCAGTTTGGGGACCTCAGAATTGCATCCCTGCTTTACGCAGATGATGTGGTTCTGTTGGCTCCATCACACCGTGACCTCCAGCATGACCTGGAGTGTTTTGCAGCCAAGTGTGAAGCAGTTGGGATGAGAGTCAGCACCTCCAAGTCTGAGGCCATGGTCCTCTGTCGGAAACTGGTGGATTGCCCTCTCCGGGTTGGGGGAGAGTTTCTGCCTCAAGCGAGGGAGTTCAAGTAACTCGGGGTCTTGTTCACGAGTGAGGGTAGAATGGAGTGTGAGATGGATAGGCGTGTCGGTGCAGCTTCTGCAGTGATGCGGGCGCTGCACTAGTCCGTCGTGGTAAAGAGGGAGCTGGGCCGGAAAGCAAAGCTTTCGATTTACTGGTCCATCTATGTCCCAACCCTCACCTATGGTCATGAGCTCTGGGTAGTGACCGAAAGAATGAGGTAGCAGATCGGAGCTCGGAGTAGAGCCGCTGCTCCTTCACATCTAAAGGGGTCAGTTGAGGTGGTTTGGGCATCTGATCAGGATCCTCCTGGGCGCCTCCTGTTAGAGGTGTTCTGGGCACGTCCCACTGGAAGGAGGCCCCGGGGCAGACCCAGAACACACTGGAGGGATTACATATTTCATCTGGCCTGGGAACGCCGCTGGGTCGTCCAGGAGGAGCTGGAAAGCGTTGCTGGGGAGAGGGACGTCTGGGGTGCTTTGCTTGGCCTGCTGCCCCCGTGACCCGGCCCCAGATAAGGGGATGAAAATGGATGAATGGACGGATGGATTTAGTACCTACAACGAGAATATCAGTTTTATCACGGTTAAGTTTGAGGAAGTTGTTCGAAAAAGGTCCAGTGTGTGGGATTACAGGTGATATATTGGCATTAATGGAGTATATATGTTCTCTTAAATGTAGATTCTATAATCTTCACTGGTCTGTTTGTTTTTGAGAGACCTCTGTGGATGATTCAGCTTCCTGTAAAAAACCTCCTGAACACTGAAGGAATTTGAACCAGGAGAAGTTTCAGCTGGTTGCAATCTGCAATCCTCACCACTAGATGCAACTAAATCCCCTAAATCTGACACACTGGTCCTTTAATTTCATGTAGCGCCAACATCATTTTATCTTTCCTCCTCTCTCGTTGTCTCCCATTCAATAATGTCCTCTCTTATCTGTTTCTGTCTTCTCACCTAGTTTTTTTAAATATCTTACTGCGTTTGTTTTTGTCTGTGATCTTTAAATAAAAATATTTAAATCATGTTACATTTCTTTTGTTTCTCTTTTGTGTCTGCTCCTCTTCTTGTGTCTTGTTTCCTTTTGACTCCTCTTCTTTTCTGTTGTTCTCTGCTTTTTCATTTTTTTTCCTCCTCCTCACCACTAGATGTCACTAAATCCTCCTAAATTTTGCAAACTGTTCCTTTAAAGGAGCTGTATCAGCTTAAACATCAAAATGGGAAACTTTCTTTACTAAACTCTTTTATGTTGCAGCTCAAACCTGCATTTCACTGCATATCAGAGTGAAAACCTGAGTGTGTGGATGTGAAAAATGATTTGGTTGAACCCAATAATTTATTAATTTAGACAGAGGTTGGCAAAATGCACAGATTCACTTACGATAATTATCATCAGCAAAGATCAGTGTACAATACACCTGTGTCACTAAGTTGAAGGCAGAACAAAATGGAACTTGTCTGTTGACTGAAGTTTCAATAATATCAACAGAGTGAGACGTCCTCTCTCCAGACGAGTCACATTCTCCTAGTTTAACTATTAAAATCATAATAATTTAAACATAACCTTTATAGTTTAAAATCAGGACCTGCAATATTTGGATCAAGTGTGTCTGATTATACAGACGGATGACAATAAAGCCTCTCTTATCTTAAATAAATTGTTTAATTAACCATATTTTTGCATGGAGGCTCATTATTGTTTTATTGATGCTTTTTATTTGTAGCACTTAGAGGGAGGACAACAGGACTTTCACTGAGGATCAGTTTAATTACCTATGAATCATTTTGTCAACCTTCAGCATCTGTATCAGTATTATCTGTATTATGCAGAATTCTGTCTGTCCTGTGGATCTGTTTCCTTTCTAACCATGTTAAAAGGGTGTGTGACTTCGATCAACGTGGATTGGTGGTCGTTTAAATATCTGAATATATGAAACACAGTCAGTTGATTCCACATCAGTACAAATCCAGAGCAGACAGAAAACATGATGTACCTGTTCAAAGTGTGCGAGCTACAGATGACGACAGACTCCTGCAACAAAAACACAGACAAAAGTCAATGTTAGAAAAATGGCTGATGATAAAGATATAACGAGGCGTCTGAGACCTCGATACAGCTTCTTTTCAATTTGGAATTACGTAACACCCACGCAAACACACACAAAGTGTATAAAGACTGAGGCATCAAATAACTGAGATCAGAAAGATATCAAGACACAAATGGAGATTAGGATAAGGAGAACATTTCCTCACAAGCACAAAAAAATGTTTATGCAACAGAGGACAGTGCACTGACTTACATGTATTCCCCCGTAGGGATGCCAGTTTCGGTTTATTTTGCTTTCAACAGCCCGACACACATTAACCAGTAACTAACTAATTACGGTCTCAGAAAAGAGCAAACTTAAAATGACATGAACACAAGAGGCCTTTCCTTTTGGTTGGGCGCTCCATCAACTCAGTGAACTCTAGCTCCACACTTAAAAGTGCTTCTCATTTAATTTTTTGCCTTTTCTTTTATTTTCTGTTGGCTTTGCTAACAGACAGCCGACCAGCTGCGCTACCCACCCTGCCCTGTCCACCTTCTGGTCTCCACTGGTTAGCTAATGTTAGCCTTGGTTGCCCTGCACTACACACCAGCCGGGCTGGGTGGAGGCTAGCCAGTGGTGCCTGGTAGTGGGAAGACTTTGCTGCAGAAACGTGGTGACCACCATCCAGTCTCTCTTAGGTTGCCCCTTTAAGTAAGCGGCTTCATTTTGAGCCACAAACCCACTTTAGCATTGTTAACTACGTTAGCACCACTAGCAATGCTGACACTGCTGACGGTGCTAACATCACTAACAGTTAAGTTAATAATGCTAAAGGGGGATTGCTGATCCGCTTTAAGTAAATTTGGCCTGAAAAAAGCGTACGCCACTTCCTACGCAGAAGTTGTGATCTATAAAAACTGACTTTGACCCATGCACACAAATATTTTGGAGATGGGAAACTGGCAATGCAGAGGGTGAGGTGGAGGCCTGACTGTAGTAATTGTCAAATATTTTCTGGCACTCGCCATTTTTGGCTTTTGTCCGTACGTACATTTTTATCATGGATCCTACGCACTTTTTTATAACTCAGACCCCAAATGAATAAAACTGAAAACAGTTCCATGTTACTAATCAGTGTAACTCCGGCGCTGCACATTGCAGTTTGGCTTCTTACTACAGTGGCGGATGTGAAAACACAAATGGCCATATCGGGAGCCAGTGTTTGAAAACAAGACTCACTCCCTCTGTAGATATAAACGGCTCATTGTGAGGTAAGAACACAACGATTCTTACTTTCAGGTCATTACACACTAAAGGAAACACTTATGTTATATTATATTCCATTCCTGCTGTGAACAGGTCAAATCAGAGGCCTTTGTG